ATTAGATTTCTACCACGCCTTCTGCCTTTGGCCAGGTTGAAGCCAGCCTCATCCAAGTATATGAAGTTGTGAGGTGGTTCTCTTCGTTAACGAAGGTGAAGACTCACCTGAGAGCAATTTCTCAATTCTGGACATATTTCTTAGCAAACATCTACTCACACTTTGTAGAAATCTGTACAGACATACAATTCTGAGAACATGTTCACTCGTTTTGATAGTACAGACTTCCAACCTGAAAAAAAGACTAATTGGTTTGGTGGTTGTGACATTTCAGCTGAGAACCAGGACACGTTATTTTGCACAGCTGGACAAAAGCAACAAGAATTGTCAAAAACAGCTGACAGATGTACAGAACCATTTGCAAAAGCAATTGCAATTTGATGAAAACAACAAGAAATTGCTGATATGATGTGAACAACTGACAACAGAATCTGACGGTTGAACGAGTAGTTCTGAGAAATGCAGTTCTGTTGTGAGAAATGAATGAAAGCGATAGAGAAAAACTGTAATATGTAGATGTTTAGTTAGATAAAATGTTTATCATGGTAAGAAATTTAATATTTCACTCCAAAATTGCAAAGAAGACCTGATGGTGGCACTTGACGAAAAGTCAGGGGATCATGAAAGTGATTTGGATTCATAGTCTTGGAACATACATTTCTGTGCACATCCAATAATTATTGACACTAGTCTGTACCAAAGTGGTGGACTGACCGACCACAAAGTGCTAAAAAAGCTGAGTGAGGTACTGTGTTTTAATAATGGTAAGCAATACTCTCTCTCTGAAGTCTTACCAGTATTCGTTTCCAAGAGGAGTACTCCCCCAGTGCCACAGCGATGTAAACAAAGATTACAGCATAGCTGATCATGAAGATGGGGATGTCCTCTGCTGTTGTCCGATTAATCTCATCCTCCAGAGACCTCTGTCAACAGAGTGGGTGGGGGGGACCAGAGACAAGTAGAGGGTTAAGTAGTACAAGCAGAGGTACAGACGACTGACGTGACATGGGAACATGTAGTTTACTGTACCTCTGCCATGTATGCAAAGGTGAAGTTGTTGGCAGGGTTTTTCTGGTAGTCCTGTACAATTTTAAGGAACTCCTCCTCCCACTGCATAGCCACTTTAAACTTGGAGTTGTTGCGGGCATAATTGTTGAGTGAGAAGGTCAGAATGAAAGCTTGAGCATTAGTGTAGTCGTCATCTGGGAAAAGAAACACGCATAATGTTCAGTTGTGTTTATAGCACTTGTATTTCATGTGGAAAAGATGGCACTGAAAATCACTCACTCTCATAGCCTCCCACAGCCAGAAACGGGAACACTGGAGCTCCATAGTCAGCCATGCAGCTCAGACCTAAATCAGTGATGTCTTTGAAGGACAGAGGAGAGCTTGAGAAGAGATGGAAGAAGAAAAGACCTTGTGTTAAAGTCACTGAACTAGTTCAGATGAATTGCTTTAGTCTGATTTGGAATTCCACTGGATGGATCCTTACTTGAGGCAGTAAATTAAGTGATCTCTCCAGTCCACTTCTTTGGTCACTCCCAGCTCTGTCATGTTCACCTTAGCGTTTATATTGTCTAAACTGTTCTGGAAGTACTGCGGCAAGCTGTTGACCGCACAGTCTTTCAGGGAGGGGGTGGTTGGATTCAGCGGTGCGAAACACACATCCTTGAGACTAGCTGTGCGGTTCAGATCCTCTGACCAGAACTCGATGTTCTGAAAAACATGAGACGTCAATGTGTCAAAATAATATGGTGAGCTTCTACAAACACTGTCAGCTGTCAACCTGGTCTTTACCTGTATTTTTTTCTGGAGTTCCAGCAGCTCAATGATGAGCTCTTTGGATACAAGCCCGCTAAAGTTCTGTGGCCCAAACAACAAAGAGTCATAAAAGTGGCCTTTTCTTCCTGGTGCTGTCAAGATCAACTGGTTTGTCCTGAAGAAGGGGTCAAAGTGTAGGTCGTGGAAATCTTTCTCCTTGCGGGCGCGGCTGTCAGGAGCAGACCACAGCTCGACTGGGTCAGTGGTGAGCTCAATGGACTTGAGGCCAGCAGAGAAAACAGCCACGACTACAGCTGACACCAGGAGTACCTTGGAAGAAGATAAAGTATGAGCAGCTGAGACACATCATAATAATCAGGATAATCACTTTTATTTGGCCAAGTATGTTACACACAAGGAATTTGTTTCTGGTACCGAACCAATGGCAGCCATCTGCGGCGCCATTTCAACCAATGGCTCTAACCATCAGGGGCAACTTGGGGGTTCAGTGTATTGCCCAAGGACACTTTGACACGTGGACTGCAGGCACCGAGATTCGAACCTCCAACTGAACCACAGTCGCCCCCCTTTAAACACGAGTTTAAAGGGTTGTCTGGTTGACAACTAGTGTTTTTCTTAAAGCCACCGTGCATACAATTTTTATGTTTATAGTATTTTTAAAATCATTTCAGTTAGTTTTGATTATAAAAACATGAGGCAATCCAAAGTCATAAATGTTCAAATTTAACTCACAGTGGGTTTAACTGCTGCTAATTCATACTCTGCTTCTGTTAGTTAAAAATACTTACTGTGAGAGGATATGTGGCCATTAGGGTTCCCCAGTGCTGAAATTGTAAGCTCAGAAAAGCTTGAGCTCTCAGACTGTTCCTGTCAGCGCACGTCACCTCTGATGGATCAATGACCCGCTGGGGCACATCATTACTCTTCTGGTCTTTGCCTTTCCCTTTTGTCTTTCTTCTCTCTTTATGCATTCTTTTTATAAAATTCTGGCAGCTGGAGGCAGTGAGGCAGAGCAGGAAGGCACATATCAGGATACAGAAAAAGATAATAGAAATCACAAGGTAACCATCTATCCCGAACAGTGTGAAGGGGCCTTCGGGTGGTGGAGGAGGGGGGATGCTTGGGCACGACTCCTGGCAGTCCTGGCAGGAGCAGACCTGACCTCCTGATGGTGTGGTCTCGTTGCACTTTAGGGCATTTCCATTGTAGGGAATCACACCCTCTGGTAGTCCTACAGTGACCCCCTCTTTTATCAGCTTGAAGTCGATGTCCAGTGGAGCCAGTCCGTTACTAGAGTCTCCCTGGAAGTCATACCAGCGCTGTGGGGTGCACAGCTTGGCCCCATAGCGACCACACATGGTAGCAATGGCGAAGCCTCCTGTGGCAGGAATCCGGACATTTTTACATGACTGGAAGGCGGCATCTGCAAAGGTGGTGCTGAGAAATGCCTGGTAGCCCACCACGGCTTCCTTTTCCATGCCGTTGATAGTGACATTCATGACCTTTGTGACTTTTACCCTCTGGCTCTGACTGGGGCTGCAGGTTGTCATGCAGTGCAGGTGGGCAAAGTTCTCAACGCAGGAAGGGCAGCGGACCAGTACGGCCTTGGACAGGGTCAGACTCTTTTCCAGGGATGACAGCTGGTCGATGGAGCAGCAGGCATACGTGTTGTTTTCTCCACGATCCAGAACGGGACACACCTACAACAAGAAAGTGTACTTTATAAAAAATTTACAGACTCATGCTCACTCTTTGTGAAAGGAATGTTTTTAAAATGATTTCTTGAGCTCCACTAGCATGCTTTATCGATTCCTCCTCTACTTCACAAAAACACTAAGCTGGATCTACAGACCTCTAGGAGTCTCTTGTAGTGTTCTCCTGTGACAGGTCGAGCACGGCTGTAATTAAGACAAGGGACAATAGGAGGAATGAGGGTCCCTCCTAGCGAGGGGTTACGACCACACTCCTCATAGAAAGCGCAGTACCCCGGTTCATGTTGAGCCTCTGTCAGGACCTGCATTGAAGACGGAGATGTCACAGAAGGCACACTTTAGAAAAAAAGGAGGAAACATTTAAACTAAAACATTTTAAAAGATTTCAACACTAACCTTTTATGTATTTTTATTATGTATAAAAGTGACGATGATATTTGGTAACAAAGAGGACTGATAGGGTTTGCTGTGTTCAGCATGGGCACATTTTTGTGCATTACATTACAATATTAACCAATAAATATGTTAATAGTGTCGTAATGACTTTAACACTGCGCTGTGTCCTGCTGTGTCATCTACGTAATGCCACCTTGCAAGTACAACAAAATGGAAAATGTATGATCAAATTCAAATATGTTCAAATATAGCTCAAGGTTGATCATGGTACTAAAAATTTATTACAATTTATTGTGTCTCTTTCATATAAAATTAAGTATTTAATAGTGTCTGAGGTTTATAAACTTCCTATACACTGTAGTCATGCATTTAAACTAGTAAAATAGACAAATCAGACCTTCCCTGTACATGTCTTAAGCCACTTCTTTTTATTTCTGTAACAATTTATTTATATGATTGTATTTATCTTAATTCTGTGTAAAAAACACTCAATTTCAGTTGTTCAAATGTGTCGCATAATTAAACTGACTTTAAAAAAGAAAGGTTAGCCAAACAAATTGGGGACTCTTGTGACATATATTAAATGTTATAACTTTGTGAAACATAAAATTCATATTTTATGACAGTGTGCATTCATTAATCCAGGGCTGATTTACTTTATCTTTAATTTTGACACTGTAGACATGAATCAAACAAAAAACAAAAAAAGAATTACTACACCTGCAAGTGTACATTTTAACAATATTTACCACAAAGAATGAAAACCAGCAGTCCTAAATTAACATGTTCAAGAGTGTTACCGTTATAATGTTTTTAGTGTACAACCACTTTTCATCATTTACTCAATATAAATATAATTTTACTATTTCACTAAAACTTTAAGTTGTATGAATAATTTAAAATATCTAATAAACACATGATAAACACAACACATACATAAAAATAAGATATTACGGTGTGTTCCTTATTTCACTTTATTCCTGCATTTGATATGTTTTTTAATTAGCCATTTAACATTTTCCATACAGCTGAACTTACAACCATAAGAGACATTTAATCGCAGACATTTGCAAAGGTTTGGGAAAGCGAGATCATTTTTGCTTTGACATTTCTGATGCTTTACTGATTAAAGAAATTCCAGTGTTTTTTATTTGTGAATACCAGCATTAAGATAAGAAATCACAGTTTAATTACAACACTTATATCTGTAAGTGATTACATTTATTCAGTATTTAATTTACAGTAAAGACCTACACTTTTATGTTTTTATGACAAAGTAATATGAGGTAATTATATGAAAAAAGGTGTTCAGTATTAATATTAGAGTGCATCATTACAAAACTATCAGGTACTGGTTACCTAGCAAAGTAGAAGTACCACAGCAACTTACCATACAAGTCAGAAAAATGATCAGGGCTGTGACACAGACCATGATTCCTGAGAGTCTATCAGCAGCAGAAGAGTCAGGGCCTTAAGCTACAATACAATGGAGTGTATATTAATCACTGCCACCCTACTGGACGATACATTAGATAGATTCACACGAGAGGGGTTCTGTGTGTCTAAGCTGGCCTCCCTCTCTCCTATCATCTGTCCAACAGTGTTAGGGCTCAGGGAGGAGGAAGCATGTCCAACATAACCACTCCTGTGATGTCACGCTTTTCTTATCTGGTGTGATGTTGCAGCTGGCCAATCGCAACCAACGATGATCATTTGCTCTGACTGATAATTAACATGTCAGAGATTGTGCTAAGGTTGCTGGGGAATGCCAAAGCATCCGGGAAGAAGAATCCAACCCTGCAGCCACACCTGGTACTTCTCCTGCTGTAAATGTTACTTGTCTTCACCTGAGTCACGCTGCAACTCTTGGTGTGTCTTTTGAAGACATAAAAATGCAGACATTGGTTGCTCTGAATCAGATCAATCAGTTCACAGCCAGCAGCGTATTATTTGAAATTCTTGTGTGGACAGCGTTATTCCAAAAACATGCACATTGCACTATGGTACAGCCGGCCTGAAACCGGACCTTTAGACCATCATGTAAGTGACACTACTGTGTGCAAGCTCTTTTTTCATTTTTGTATACTGTAAAAGTCTTACTTCCAACCCACTGACAGCAGTAACATGCCTTGATCACATCCCACCATCTAAGATTAGCTGTAATTAATGTCGTTATCACATGCCAAGGTCAAAGCTAAGATAACAGGTCCATCAGAGCGATCAAGGTGAAGGTGCAAAAGCACCTCAACCGGTGATAAACAGATAGGAAAAGGACTAGAAGAAAAGGGGCAGATGGTATTTGTTCTTTCCCAGTGTTGATAAGTCATGGCAAACAGCAATTCGCACAATACAAGGTACAATCATCTGATCGATCTCTCTGTTCTCCATCCAGCCCTCACCCATCTAGATTAAAAAACCTCTTATGTGAGAATGCTATTCCTAGACTTTAGTTCAGCATTCGACACAATCATTCCCCAGCAGCTTATACAAAAACTTGGACACTTGGGACTGAAAACCTCTCTCTGCAACTGAGTGCTGGACTTTCTAACAGGGAGGCCACAAAATGTGAGGGTCGGCAGCAACATCTTGCTGAGGATAGGGGCTCTGCAGGGGTGTGTGCTCAGCCCATTGCTCTTCACACTGCTGACCCACGACTGTGTGCCAACCTACAGCACCAACCACATTATCAAGTTTGCAGATGACATGACTGTAGTTGGCCTCATTACCAACAATGATGAGGCCAACTACAGGAGTGAGGTGTGCCAACTGGCCCAGTGGTGTAAGGACAACAACCTCTTCCTCAATGTGGGGAAGAGACTGTTGTGGATTTCAGGAGAAAACCTCTAAAGCATCCACCACTGACGATCGACGGTGCTGTAGTAGAGAGAGTGTGTGCTGCATCACTGTGTGGTATGGAGGTTGTACTGCCTCCTGCAGAAGGACCCTGCAACGCATAGTGAAAACAGCCCCGCACACTCCCACTTCAAACTCCTGCCTTCAGGGAGAAGTTATTGGAGTCTTCAGGCCCACTCCACCAGACTTACAAACAGCTTCATCCACCAGGCTGTGAAGATGCTGAACGCTGTTCACTACCTCCCCCCCTTTGTCCCTAGACAATAACCCACCACAGAAACAAACAAACAAAAAAACTACCTCTGGTGTTTTACCATCTGTTATATGTAAATCTGCTGCTGGGAATTTATTTTTTTTTGCTGGGATATCTGCTGCTGTTGGTCATCTGCTGTAATGTCCATGTATACCTCATATGCTATTTGCACCTCATCACCAACGCCCTGGTGATGCTGAACCATCTGACAATCTCCTATTATTGTTTGCACTACTGTCACTGACTTGTACACGGTTTTGAGTCACAGCTTATTGGCTGTACCTTTAGATTTATCCTAATTATGTTAATCCAGTTCTTATTCTATTCTATTTTTATTCAACTTTATTTTATTTTAGTTCCTAAATGTTATGGCACCCACTACTAGGTGAGAGAGAAATGGTATTTCGATATTCTGTATGTCCTGCACATATAGTGAATCGACAATAAAAATCTTGAACCCTTAAACCTTGGGTATCTTTTATCTGTTTTAACAGTTTGCAGTGTAAGTAGCCTAATAATGCCTGTGCAGTACCGAAATCATAATATCAACAAGTTTCATTCATCTGAAAAGTACCAAACTTTTGCTATCTTGTTTTACCCTGCTCTCCTGTAAACAAATACATTTGCAATTATATTGATCTCTTAATTATTTTATTCCTGTTCTATTTTATGATCTTTGTTTAACCTTGAGAGGCACAGAGTGTCCTGCCCTCAATTCTTTATGAGTGTTATCTGCATATATGTAAGGGACTCTGCCCATTCATAAAACAGTCTCTACAAAAGTTTGTTGTGGAAAAAGGGCACGAGCTAGATTTGAGCCTGTGCTGCTACATTTTGGACTTCAGTGTAACAGGAAGGGCCTGACTACAAAGGCTGTGTAACTCTGTTGACATATTTGTCACATGTCATTTTTAAGCTAAGGCTCAGGGAACTGCTCCTTTGCAAAACTGTTTTTATGCAAACAATCCGGCACCTTCAGTGATCAAAGCTTTCATATACAATGTAAAATATGCACAAGGTAAAATAACACAAGGGTCAGTAACTTCCCTACAGAGTAGAATTCTTCACCCCATAATTACATTAATAAAACTGTATTTTATTTGTAATATTTCAAAACAGTTTTGGCATAAAGCACACCTTTTGTTGGTAATACGCCTCTTTAAACTGAGCATCATCAAGGAATTAAGAGTTACTATAGCCAGTTCCTCCTTAATAGAAAACATAAACAGAAGTATCTACAAAAATAAATAAATACATTTCATAACTTAAACTCATGTTGCTAAATGACTTTAGCATAAATTGTTTAAATACATCTACAGAGAAGCATCACCAAGTCTTTCGTAGAGGGAACAAAGAAGGTTAATGCACAAAGGTTATGAACAAATAATGTATTAATTTATCCATAATGCTTATTTATTTGTAAGTTTATAGTTGTTATTTTGCTGCAGTGCATATTTGTATGTAATCACAGTTCTATTTGATAATGAGACAGAATCATGCTTAATTAAATGCTATGTGCACTGATATGACACAGCACATGCTCTTATCAAATTTCACAAGGATAAATATAGGTAATAATTATTTCTTTGGCTGCAATTGAAACCATTTCAAACATAAGGACATATTAAAATTTGATCTAAAACGGCCCTGACAAGTTAAAAAAATACATCTTTGTTCATGCAGATTCAGGTACATACAGTACACTGACAATACTATGCTCCATTAGTCAAATGTACAGTATGTGGTCTAATGTATTACAACTAAATATAATATATACAATTATATTCGTGCTTGCTTTTGATAATTAAACAGTTGAACATAAATGATTATGCGTGTTAAAAACACTCAATATCTACTAAATCATTGTGCTTTTCAAGTGTGAGGCAACATAACATGATCAGTATAAATGGCAACTTACACAGAGAATGTAAGGTGCCAAGTCTTTTCCCATCTATCCTCCAAAGTACAGTGTTTAAGAAGTACCTATCTAAGCCATTTTTTCTAAGTCCTTAATGATCTCTTCAGCTAAGACACTTTCTCTTTATGACTGAGTCTTTATCAGTCATTATTTATGAAACTTCCATTGCACTGGCTGAATGGTGGAGCGAGCTGACTATCACAACTTTTTGAACCCCGATAAGGGTGAAAGGTAGTTTCATGGGAAAGGTTGTGCCTGTCAGCTGAAAACTGGGAGGATATAAAACCTTTATGTGATGGAGATAGGAGGATCCTCAGTTTTATGCAACTACCATCAGGGTCACTCTCACTAGAAAATCAGTTGTGATATTACAGTTGATTCTTTCACTAATTCATCCCTCACTTTATTTTTACTTTTTGTAAAAACGTTTGGTTTGTATTGGGCAGATGTTGAATCCCAAGAGACACTAAATACTATATGTAAACTGGCTGATCCTCCTCTACAGAAACATAAAATATGATAACATACACACACATGCTGCAACTGTTCAACTAATGTGCGAGCCTGAATACTTTCAAATCACTTCCTTTGTTTGAGCCAGATTTTTTCTGCATTTGGGTTTCATCTTGACAGGTCACTAAATGAGGGGGTTTCTTCATGAAACTCAAACACTAGAGAGTGATGTACTGTTGACATAACAGCTGGCATTTGGGCGATATTTTATGATTTTTGTACCATTTTATCATCAATATTTTAACCTTGCAATACAACAGAGGTGTGCAGTGTCATAATAGTCATCCTGCTGTGCAATAACAATGTGAACTAGAAGGGTATGTTGTGAATACAGCTTATTCACTGTACTGTGTATTTTTCTCTTTCACTACATGGATTGATGTTCTTGTTGCTGTAACATTGTAAACTGTTGTGGGAAAAATAAAGGATTATCTTATTAATACCTCCTATTGTGGTTTCAAAATGGACCACTCCCTCCCCTTCTTGTCAATTACAGTGAATTATGACATTTTAGCAAACTGCTCAAATATACAGTGGTTGTCAGTGTTGGTATGCAAGTGTCACCTCCCTCTGTGTCACCTCAGCCTGAGTGGGCATGAGCTTTACTAATCAGGGTTATCATGTCTGGCTACATGTTGGATGAGTCACAATATATTTGTTTAGTTTGGCAGGGAGTCAGTGGACAATAAAAACCAGGAAGCATCACAGGCCTTTTCAACAACACATACTTTATGCCACCATGACAGGGATAATACAGGTGTAATTAATAACATGGGTTATGGCTCAGTGCCATCAGGTGCCAGTTAGCCATAAATGATGCATTAAAATTAGACCTGTGCTTTTCCTGCTATGAAACTTCATTAAAGCATGAGGAAACCTCTTGCTTACAAATGTATCACAGTATCAGTAACAGAATCAATAGTGAACCATAAATTTCATTAATGACTTTTCACCCCATATTCCGCTGAAACCACAAAGATCATGTTATGACATTACATGCTGTCTTAGAAATCAGGACTGACTGATTCAACAGCAACAGTATTAATTGAATCAATAGTCCAATAAATGCCAGGAACCCCACCCACAGCAGCAATTAAGCACTGAACCACAGCAGAGTGAGACAGGCCTCCTTTCAAACCATCGTGTAGATAGCTAGATGGCTTTAATGAATAAAAATGAGCGTGCTGAGGTGGTGAAACATCTGGCGCCACACTTCACTGAAAAACATTTAGAAATCATGTGTCTCTTTGCTGGAAAAAGCAAATTTCTTAAAGAGAATCATGAATTTATTCCAGAAAAGTTAATATATCGAGGACAAAACACTTTCTATCCCTATGAAAAATACATTAATGTGAGAAATAAACTATAAACACATGGCTCATCTGGAGAATTCTGACATGTGAGTACTAAAACTGAATTCTAAAGTACAAATAAAAGGTAAAAAAGAAATACATGCAACAGTTTTTTTTGCAATGTTCAAAAGTAATCTTCACTACCTGAACTTTAAAGAACAGCGAGTATGAAAATGAAAAAAAATATTCATGAATACACTAAAGTTGCAACAAGGAAATGATTTAAAATCTACGTTGTTTATTGGGTCCATAGTCTCCAGGCCCAGCGAGGCCCCTGGGGAAACCACCCTGGCCTCCTCCAGGCATATTGTTGTTTCCTGGCCCTGGCATGATTGGAGTATTCTCAGCAGTCATGCCTGTGGTACCAGCATTACCAGAGGTGCCGCCCAGAGAGTTCCTGTTCATGGGCATCCCGTGGCCGCCCATATGCATCCTTATGTCTTGCTCTCTGTTTTCAGAGAAGTTACCTCTGAAGCCCTCCTGCTGCCTCTTCATCATCTCCTCATTGCGAATCCTCATCTCCTCCTCTCTCCTTCGGCGTTCCTCCTCTTGCCGAAGCTCAGCCTGTTTCCTCTTCTGCACCTCCTGACTGTGGAGCTCCTCCATCCTCCGCAGCTCCTCCTGCCGCCTCAGCAGGTCCTGCCTCATCAGCATCACCTGATGCTCATGCCTGGCTGCCTCCATCTCTGCCTCCAGCTTCTCCTGAGCCTCTTTCATGTTGCGGTCCACCATTTCATACTGCTGCTTCTCCATCTCCATCAGGGCCTTCCAGCGCATGGCATACTCATACTCAAAGGAGCCTGGTTGAGCAAAACGAGGTGGCTGCTCACGCTCTTTGTGATACTGCTGGTTTTTGTTTATGACCTTTTCTGATAACCCCTCCTCTTCATCAAACTGTTCCATAGGTTCCACTGTAATAGGCCGGGGGAAAGCTGTGAGAAGATAGGCACCATCATTGCACTTATCCAGTGCTTTTCTTGCAGCTGGCTTTGAGGTGAACTCCACTATTCCCTTCCCTGTGGGCCTTCCTCGGTCATCCACTATGACTACAGCTCTTTCTATCTGACCAAAGGAGGCAAAGGCCTCCTCCAGCAGCTCGTTGGACACAAACTCTGGCAAATTCTTAACTGATAAAGCAGCACCGAGGCAAAGGCCTCCTCCAGCAGCTCGTTGGACACAAACTCTGGCAAATTCTTAACTGATAAAGCAGCACCGTGTGTTGCAAACCTCACCCGGATGGCCCTGCCTCTGAATGGAGTATCGTCCAGCTCGGCTCTCGCGATCTCTGATATAATCCTAGTCTCGAGCCGGATAAAGCCGAAGCCTCTTTCCTTGTTCACAAAGATCTCGCTGGCCTTTCCGTACTTCGCGAACAGCCTCTCGATATCCTCCTCGGTAACTCCGGTTGGTAGGTTTCCTACGAACAACCGGCTGCGCTGCGTGAAGGTTTTCTCCCCGGGCTTCCTAAAGCTCTGCAGGTCCAGGGTTAAGGCCTCATTGGGGCTGGTCTGTTCGCTGGGCTCAGGCTGCTGGCCGTTGCTGTTTGTTCCCCCGGGTTTTTTCAGGTCTCCCGGGCGGTTGGGGCCGTGGTTCTGCTGTGGGCCTCTGTGTCCTTGCATTTTTTTGCAGCTAAATTAAAAAGCGATTTGATAAATCACTCGATAAACAGAAGCACTGTTAATAGACGGTGGCGCACTATAAGGTCCGAAAATGGCGAGGCTGCGTGCTACTGCGACGCTATTGTGATCTCAATTCAATGCGCCGTATGTAGAAGGTGATGACGTTGATTCTGTGCGACAAAAACCAAAACATTAGGTTTTGCTTTTGTAACCTCATATTATGTGGGCTCACCATGCCCACTTACCTCTAAAAGTTAATTTCGGTCATTTTCTTTAAATTCTATATGGTACATTAGGTTTATGTATTGGTAACCGTTATTCACATGTTGTATTCTGTTCTCGCGAGATATGTCGGCATTGAAGAAAAAAAAAACATGAGCCTGTGATTACGCGGGAATTGTTTCTTATACTCACTAGCAAGATTACAATCAGTGATATATGAAAATATAACATAGCGCCTGATTTACGACTGACCATACCTCAAGTCTCACTTTCCTGGTACCAAGGTAAGGTCCTTAAATGTATTACATTCACGATATTCCTAAAAACAACTCTGAATGTTTTGGAAGAGCTCAGGCAGCACCACTTGTTGCCATTAACGTTAGCCTAAAACGCTTGACTTTGTACACATGCCCTGCAGTTATTGTGCACGTATGCATCAAATTAGATCAATTTCGTCTGTCTCTGCTTCAGGACAGTCATGTTCTCTGACCTGAACGCCCAGAAGGATGGCTCATCTCTGCTCTGCTGCCCTACCTCTGATGATCAGGGGCCGATATTTGAGAGGGCATCGCTGTCCTATATCCCCTTATTCGAGCGCTACAGAGTTGGTGAGCGGAGCTTCAGTCGCCAGTATGCCCATATATATGCAGCACGACTCATGCAGATGAGGCCGTTGCTCGCAGAGAGAGCCCAGCAGAAATGGGGTAAGGATATACCTACAAATCGGACTGTGAAACATCTGAACCTCTTTCCATGTATTTATATATCTATTTGTTTCTCTTTCTACCAGGACCAGAGGTGCTTATCAGGAAGTTGTGTGAGCTTCAGACTGGGGAGCAGTGTTGCATTGTGGGGACCTTGTTCAAACGTATGGACTTGCAGCCATCTATTCTTAAAGAGATCAGTGAAGAGGTTTGCAATCATGCTGAATTCATGCAGCTTGCATTCTAGATCAAATGGAAACCGTTTATTTCATAACATGTTTCTGATTTCTTCTCTTCTTCAGCACAACCTGCTGCCCCAGCCTGCACGAGCCAAATACATTAGTGAAGCAGATGAGCTGATTCTGGAGGATGAGCTCCAGAGGATCAAACTACAGGGCAAAATTGACAGAGACAAGTGTGTCACAGGTCAGAATTGCTTTGAAGGAATATTAGACTATCACATCACAGGGTCACAGTGTTGCATCACTTATATGCAGCTGTGATTGTACAGCAGTGTAGGTTTTGTATTTAATGGCGTTCTTTCTTTGTCTCTCAGGTAGTGTTATTGCAATATATGGAGCTGAGAGGAATGATGGGAAATTCACGGTTGAGGACCTTTGCACAGCTGATCTCCCTTTGCAGACTGCAAGACCTACACTCAGCTCTGACAGGTGAACACACACAAACACACCTACATAGCTTAAATCCCAGCTTTTTGTGATCATAGATTCGAATGGCGTTTGTCTTGGTTTAGGTTTGTGCTCCTGGCCTCAGGACTTGGTCTTGGCAGCAGTCATGCCGACAGCATGCTGAGCCTACAATTGCTGGTTGACATGGTAACTGGGCAGCTTGGTGACCAAGGGGAGCAGAGCAGGTCAGCAACAATTTCCAGGGTCCTACTGGCTGGAAACCTCCTGAGCCAGTGCACCCAGGACAAAGACGCATCAACGAAGGTGACAAGAACTAGGTTGTCCTGCATATACACCCACTGTATACCTGTTATTAGTTTAACTGTTTTAAAAATGTCGCACAATCATTTGAAATGATCTTATACTTACTTTAACCCCTCTGTTTTTCCAGGCAAAGTACCTGACAAAGAAGACTCAGGCTGGCAGTGTTGATGCCATTCGTTTGCTGGATGAGCTGCTGCTTCAGCTTGTGGTGGGTCTGCCTTTCTTTTCTGCACGAATATGAAGTGAGATTATATACATTTGTCTCCCTTGGAGATTTTTGCCACAGTGTTAATAGTGTGGCACCTGTGTTTGGTTGTGTAAAGCTATTAGGGGTTTGCTACAGGACTGTTTTAAGGCAGTATTGGGAATTTTGTTTTTATGTATTTAATGGAATGTGTATTTATTGGCTGGTTTAGCCACAACAGACATTTCGTGTCTGTTTTTGAGCAATAATCAGTTTCTCAATTTATTTTTCATAGGATTTACTAAATCATCGTGTAGAATTACATAAATTACATCATGTAGAAATACATGACTGTTAGACCAAACAAGGTATTTGAAGACCTTGCACAAACAAAACAAGCAATACAGACAAATATCGGTAAAACCTAATCAACACTCACTAATAAAAATAATCTGCAGCTCAGAAATGACTACAGTTGTAGACTAAGATAAAGTTTGTATATAAACAGTATTAAAACCATTAACAGTAAGGGTTGTGTGCTTTAGTGGGTGTGACCATTTGAGGTGTGGGGAAAATAAAGTGCTTGAAGGAATGTGAGACTGAGGAGCAGCGAGTTTTCTTGAGCATTGAGACTTTATGATTATGAGATGATTATTATTATTATTAACATTAATCTGTTTGTATACCTAAATATATGTGGTTGTGGAACTATGGAGGCCTTTTATTCCTGAAATAAATTGAATGAATTGAATTGAAATGATTTTTATTGTCCCTGCCTTCTTGTGTAGTCCTCTGTTCCTGTGGATGTGATGCCAGGCCAATATGACCCCACTAACTACACCCTCCCACAGCAGCCGCTCCACAGCTGTATGTTCCCCTTGTCCTCGGTGTACCCTACCCTTCAGCTGGCTTCCAATCCATACCAGGCAAACATTGATGGAGTGAGGTGAGCACTACCACATGCCTGTTCTCTCTGACATCTTGAATTTAATGTTCGATCTAAAGTGAGTGTACAGATGTGCTGAGGACCTTGTTTTTATTTGTTTTCACTAAGGTTCCTGGGCACATCAGGCCAAAATGTCTGTGACATTCAGAGGTACAGCAGCATGGACAGTCACCTACAAATACTGGAGGAAACGCTACGACTTCGACATCTGGCCCCTACAACACCTGATACTCTAGGTTAGTCAGACAAAGTGATGCAGAACATAAACCTTCTAGCGGTTTACATTATTTACAGTTTTCCTTACATCTCTGTCAGGTTGTTACCCATTTTACCAAAAAGACCCATTTATCTTGGAAGAGTGTCCCCATGTTTACTTCAGTGGCAACGCCCCCACCTTTGAGTCCAAGCTCTTTAAAGGTCAGTGTGTGATGTGTACATGTACGCTTAAGAATCTTGTTGGATAATGACTATCGTCTTTATACATCAAGTGGACAGTGTATTTACACATTGTTTTGATCATATTACTGCATTTGGACAGTTTTCCTCCTCCTCCTAATGTTCCAGTATATTTCTTTGTCTTCTTTTCCTTGCAGGAGCCGATGGCCAAGAAGTCCTCTTAGTTACTGTCCCAGAGTTCAGCAGCACCCAAACAGTATGCCTGCTCAATTTACGTACTCTGGAGTGTGAGCCAATTAGCTTCGCTGCATTCTCTGCCAATGACGATGAGGAAAGTGAGATGAACATCAGCCACTGAGGGTGCATACCCACCACATACAGAACAACGTGCGGAGACTATAGACTATTTGTGTATATAAATCTCTTGACTACAGACCAGTCATGTCAACATTGGGCCACAGTTCTTCAGTCACTATCGTAAGGGTCAATGAATTGCTGTTAAAATTACCTCATAAAGCAGCTTCTCTTGTTTGCTTTGAGGTGTGTTTTTTAATAGACAAGCATCACTGATATCCTAGTATTCTCTTAAAACAGAAATCGGGCTAAAAAGAAGAGAGGCACACACTGTGTATTAATATGACTTTATTGAAAAATAACTCTTTCACCCCAGCTTTCCTGAGGAAACGTGACAGAAGACTTGTTCCCTCTTCTGGCTCTCTGTTACTAGCTGTGAACAAATGCCTTTTAACAGTGACTGTTTATACTGTAAAAGCGATTTCTGCCATGGACATAGACTGTAAGTCAACAGTTTTTATGTGCATTCACAATAAACACCTTTTCATGAAGGAAAAAAGCATTCATAAGAAAGACAGTAACGAGCCAGATAAATGCAGTGTGAACTGTCAAACTGAAATTGTACCTATAATGAATGGGTCAATTTCTGTGAAGAGGCTTTTGTCAACTTTAAGGAACAGATACACTGTCTTAATAGAATTAATAGTTATCCTGTACATTCCCTTTGCTTATATGTTGTACAAAGACAGGAACCTTCTTTTGATTCTTTATCGACCTGCTCAAAAGTACAACACGACAACGAGAACTACAGTTAGGAAAGGGTGAGTGTTTACAGAAGCTGTCTGTGCATGTTTGGTTTAATAGTCATCGATCTTGTACTCGTAGTTATAATCCACAATGGAGTCTGTGAACCCACCAGGTGTCGAGGACTCTCCTTCCCCTATGATCCACGAGTCATACCAGGATGTGGTGGTCTCTGGTGTTGTGGGAATTGTGGTTGTTGTTGGGGGTAATGTTGTCGTTGTCATTGTTGTCGTCGTCATCGCCATCGTCGTAGATGATAACCTCAATCTCTGCTGCCGACGACGCATACGAGCTATCCTGAGCCGCCTTAGCCGTTCAGCGCTGAGTCGTGAGTTTGGTGAAGACCCATTGTTGCTACCAACCACACGCCTGTTGCCATTACCAGCTGCGGGGTGCTGTGCTTTGGTGGTGCTATAGCTGAGTCGTATTGGCTTGTTGCCATGGAGGGCCATGATCTACAAAAAAATTTAAGAAAGACACTTTATTACACTCTAGATCCATATATATTGACTGTGTGGTCAGTTCAGGATGGCAGTGCCTTACCTGTTTAATGCGATCCCAGTTGGACTTGGCCAGGTTGAAGCTGCAAGCGGTCGCTCCTGACTGGTAACCCACCATGGAGCTGTCACTGGGTACTCCCCTGGGTGCAGCAGCCTCCAGTAGTCTCCTGTTGGAGCTACAATGGCAGTGATGGGACAGACATTTAGTTTTAAGCACAATGGGTGCTATATTATGTTTTGAAGCACCTTCATCACAACACCCACTCACTGGCCACTTTATTAGGTACAACTGTATGCACTTCAAAGTAGCACTTCCACTTTAACATCTGTGTTTATGAAGCTCAGAATGGTTCAGTTTTTGGTGAAATTGTCAATTGTATAAATTCAGTTATGTTTATTATTGAGGTCATAGTTAAAGGTGGGGTTGTACTCGACTACATTATATTCAGAGGTGTCTATATATTTTTGTCCTCCCCAGCTTCATATATGAGAGGGTCAGAATATTAAGAACACCTCTGAATATAATGTGTTCAATACCATTTTTAACTGACATAATAATAAACATATAATTGAATTTATACAAATTGAATTAAATTTGAACTAAAATTGAACTAAAAACTGAGCCATTTTGAGCTTCATAAACATTTGTTTAGGTGGAAGTGTTGTACTGAAGTGCACACAATTGTACAGGTGTACCTAATAAAATGGCCTGTGAGTGTATATTGAGACTCAAGGAGGGAGACAGTGGAAGTCTTTCACCAGACCTGTGGTGACATCATGGTTGATCCCCTCTACAGACACAGTGGCATTTGCAATGGGGTTTCCCTGCTGATCCTTCACTATGCCCCTGATGCCACGATGCACCTGGATAAAGAGGGGGAATTGAGGGGTGGGGTGGGGGGGTCAAGAAATATTTTAATGTATCTTAATTTCAATGTAGCGCACAGTTAATGGTGATGTGGCTCATTCAGAAGCCTAGTCCATTAACCTTGACTTTTATACTGTTTCCTTTTATAGTGATAAAACCTTTAAACAGGAGTTGAATCTGCAGCCATGCTAATAACTGAGAATGTGATGCAAATACACTGACAGTAATAATGCTAACATGCTGATGTTTAGCAGATATATTTATCATGTTCTAATGGATAGCATAATAACATTAGCACATTAGCACCTAACACGAAGGCTGATGGGGAAGGTCATTAGTTTTGGAAATTATCCAAACCAGCACATTGGAAAAGGTAACATTTTGAGCTGGCGATGGCAGACGAGGAAACAGTAGGAGATTCCTAAAGTTAAACTCTGACTTCTTCTACTGGGGATCTTTGATAGCAAAATCCATGTTAATCAACCTAAAAGCTGTGGACTAAAATATCAAAATGGCACTAGGAAGAAAATTCTATCTTGGTGCTGTTAAAGCAAAAGTCAGAAGATGACCATTGTCAGTAGGTTTCATCCATTATAGACCATGAATCTCTGTACAAAATATTACCGACCAAACAGCTGTTAAGGTATTTCAGTCTGGAGCAAAGTGGTGGACCGACTGACATGACAGGCTGACACTGCCATCCATACAGTCAAAAAGACAAGGATGGCTAAATATGAAAGAGCTTGATCTTTCGGCTGTTCACAGTGGCCAAATACACATAGCTACAATTACTACAGGATGTGTTACTTTTGACTGTTATTCAAGGCAAACCTCATAAGAGCTACTTTTGAGTAATGTTAAGCAACAACAAATAGAATAAGCATAAGAGTTATATGATCTTCAGTAGTAGCATGTTCTAGTACTCTTTCCAACCCCAGTCAGAGCACAGAGATGAAAGCAGTACATCACATGCTGTGTGAAGGTGAGTGACTGACCTGCTCCATGAAGGTGAGCATTGCTTCTCTGTTCTTCTCCCACTCATAAGCCAACTCACTCTGGTGAGGGAACTTATCACAACCCAGGAATATGGACAGCTCAAAACAGTTGGTGTGCAGGTAGCTGAAGTCATTCATACCTGGAGAAAAACACACACACATCCCCACACTAACCCCAGAGCCTGCACTGCATGTATTGTCCACCAGGGTGTGTTGTAAACATAAGTACACCGTTAAAATGAACCTCCTGGCCTCTACTTACTGCCTGTGACTGGCTTCCATTTGGCCCTGTTGACGATGCCAAGTCCCCCTGCAGCAGTGTCTCCATGGCAGGAGCTGTGGACGTTATGTGTCATGGTCAGATGTGTGGAGGAATAGGAGACAGCCAACCACCTGAAGAGGGACTCGTCTGCAATTTCCCTAGTTTCATCCTCTGGCTCAGTGTACTGGTAACCAGCACTTCTTTCTCTGTCGTCATCCTCTTCCTCTCTGTGGCCATAACCTTGGTTGTAACTGTGATCATAGCCATGGTCGTAACCATGATCATAGCCCTGGCCCTGCCACTGCTCTGGCTCAGCGTATCCTGTTTGTCTCCACTCCTCCTCTGGCTCAGTGTATCCTGTTCTTCTCCAGTCTTCCTCTGGCTCAGTGTATCCTGTTCTTCTCCAGTCTTCCTCTGGCACCTCGTGGTAACCCATTCCCCATTCTGTCACGTCAAAACTTTCTTCTTCATACCTGTAAGAAATGTGCTGTTTAACTTGACTGTAACTGAGAGACTCATTGAGAGCTAATCAGGAAAAGTGGAGGAAAATGTAGGAAAAGTCTGTGTGAAAAGCAGTGCAACAGCAGAGCACAGGGAGATGGAGAGAGCAAATCATACTGTCTCTTCTTGCGGCTGTGGCGTTGTTGGGTCTGAGCAGGCTTGTTGAGACGTAAGCTGTCATAAGGATAGGCCACAATTGTCTCCCCGCCCTGGAAGTTTGCACCCAATACAAATGGATGGCTTTTCATCCAGGAGATTATAGCCCTGGTTTCCACGGCAATCTTGAACAAAAACAGGAAGATCAGGATCATACAAATAACGGAGGAAATAAACCCATGTAAGCTTGGTCATTTGTCTTTACTGAGTAGACCAAAGCCACCTTTATCAAAATACAAAGATTTCTTACTTCCATTTTATATGAGGAAAGAGGGCTTTATGGGAGAAATACAAGAAATAAAACAAATTTTTGTCACCTGGTGACCAATTGCCTCACAACAACCCTTAACTGGAGATCATCTGCCCTCAGCATTTATGATCAGCTGAATGTAAGATACAACAATACCCTTTTCCTTACCGAGCTGTTATCTTCAGAGTTCTCTGGTATGGGCACATGATGGTTAGGGGTTAGTTTAGGCACCAAACCCTTATCTTCAGCATCCCACAGTATGTGGTTCAGGTCTGGGAAATTCTGGAAGATGTCAAAGCCATCCTGAGTGAAGTGTCCAGTGGTCCAACTACTCAGCTCTGATCCCTGCGGGGCACAAATTAGATAAAGGGACACACTGAGCCAAATCACTCTAGACCAGAAACACACTATGATTCATTGGTATTTCGTTTGCTTGTCTTTGAAATGTATGACTTTTAAAACATTTTATTTATTCATCTATTTTATACTGACCACTTCAAATGCTTCTTGATGTCCATCAGGGTTCAGAGAAGGCACCAGGTGGATGCGTATTCCCTCCACCAGTCTCAGGGCTCTGGGGTTTTTGTCTTTGTACTCTTTGCACAGGTACTGCATAAGAAGAAGGAGCATCTCCCGACCTACCACCTCATTTCCGTGGAAACCTGCTGTGTAGCGAAACTCCGGCTCACCTGTGGAGACAGACGGGGAAAATTGTAGTTGCTTTTCTGTTGACCATAATCTGCTGACTCCCACCCAGTGTTTATTAGGCTTTACAGGAATCATCAGTGGTGCCATCGAGGCCAAATGCCCCACAGGTTCTAATCTCAACCAAACAGCATCTCAGACTTTTGGAAAATTAGAGGGAGAACAGATGCTTTTACATCTGCTTGGAATAAAAACATGCCTTTAGGATTGTAATGCATTATTGTACAATTAATTTAACCATTAACAAAACAGTTCTATTTGCTTGTTTCATGAACAGATTCCCACCTATTTCATGTTCTGTGGGATCTCCAGAGATGACCATGGCCAAGATTTCCCGCCCCTTGGAGCTGAGGCCCAGGCTGTAGATGTTGGTGATGTTGGGACACTCCTCGTTCACTGACTTCATAAGCTGAACACATTAGACAATAGACACAGTTAGTGTGCAGAGTACTGCATATCATTATATTTACACATTATTTATAAAAGAGCTGATGGTTGATGACATTGTGTTGGTGTGGAAACATCATGGTGCCCTCTGGTGGTTGAAATAAATAATTGAAAAAGAATGACCCATCAGCAGTGGTTTTAATATCTGTTTATATCTGAGTGGATTAAGGAAGACTTCCTGGTTCAGTGTTAAATTGTTTAAGGAAAATAATATTCTTTTAGTCTTTGGGGAAATAGCTGAGGATTTCCTGTGGAATTCATTCAGGGGCTCGTGCACAGGGACACTCACTGCAACCATCTCTGAATAGCTGTGATATTTGAACTCCAAGTAATCCACTGGAGTCACTTCATTTTGCCTGTACAGAACATCAGTTGGATCTGTATGAGGGAGAGAGACAAGGAACCAAAAATGCATCATTAACGTTGTGTGTTTTCAGTGTGTGCATGTACATGTGATTGTGTGTGTGAAGCTCACCAGGCAGAGGGCAGCCTAGGATCTCGAGCCTCATACACAGAGAGCCATTCCAGCTCTGAGGAATAATTCGAATGTAGCGGGCCAGCACAGGCTCTGCCAGCTGGTTCATCACTGGAGTGTCCTTATCATTGTTTCCAAAGAACAACTGGATGAGAGGGGAAAGATGAGAGGAAAGTGAGTAAGGGAAAAGGAAGGAGACATACAAGGTGCCAAAGAAAGTGACATAATTTTAGTTGAACTCACCCAGTCAGCATATCCATCATGGATGGTGGTCCATTCTCTGCTGTCATTACTGAAAGCCAGGAAGTAGGACATCACAAAATCACTCCTGAAACAAAACAGGGACAACATGGTGAATTTAGCAATAGAAGATAAAGTATATTCATGTGTTTGTGTGGTTGAATCCTACTCATTGAAGGAGTCTCGTCCCTGAGTTATGACTCCTGTGAACTCTGTCTCTCTGCGAGCATCGACCTCAAACCAGTGGATCCTGTCTTCTGAGTTTGCACACCACGCTCCTCCTCTCATGTTCTCCTCATCATCAGAGCCCTGGGAACCACAGAGACCAGAACACATGCTGCTTATCCACTGTTGTGCACACTCAAAGAAAATATCAAATTCTTATGAAATGAAATTTAATTCACATATATTACAAAATGTCAGGATAGAAGTAAAAAGTCAGCAAAGCTAAGTAGGATTTATCAGCGGATTTAACCACTTGCTAAAAAGTGCTCAGCTGTCAAAGCAGCTAATGGAATTATTGGTTACAGACTCAGTAATAATAGTAATTATTTTCCAACATGTGGCTGTAGCTGTGTTTATTTCAAAGCCTGGCAGTATGTATGTGTTATATATATTACATGTCTGAATTATATATATATATATGTATGTATATGTGTGTGTGTGTGTTCAAACTGGAGGTCCTGCACTGAGTGTTGTGTACCTGCATGTTGAGGCGTGCCCTTTGAGGTGCAAATCTGTACTGAGACATAGAGGAGGCAGAAAGCTGGTCTGAGTTGATCTTATGAGACTCCATCCCCAGGGGAGGGCACTCTGCCACATACACAGAGCAGAGAAAATGAAATGTAGATCAGTAAAGTTTTTTTTTTTTTTTTGGACTTAGATCTACTTACTCTTTGGCTCTTTGAAGACATGTGGTCTGCTCCTGGCCCGATCCTCTGCCTCCTTCAGCTTCTGTGTTCTCTCTGGCAGAGGTCAGAAAAAGTCTTAATGCAAAATAAATTGAACTGTCTTGGCTAAATAAAGTGAACTCTCTTGGCTGAATACGCTCTCTCTCTCTCTCTCTCTCTCTCTGTGTGCCCAGAATCTTGGCACTCATCAGTATTTTGCAAATGTTATATACCAAGGATCTCCAATAGAACATGGGAATTTAAAGTAGTGGGCAAAAACAGATGTTGTGAGTTCCCTCCCAGTGCAAGTGTGATCCTGACCTAGAGACCCCATTACTGAGGAAGAATCCCATTATCTATCATTATTCATATTGTGACACTGAAGCTCATCAGCTGCCACAAGTCATACTGACAGTAGGAATGCACAACATGTTGCAAGCTAACGTGCCTACTGTACACACAGGCACAAGTGGACATACACATGCTCACATTAACACGATGGTACGAGGATGCGCAGACACACATCTGCTTTTGTGCCTCAGTGTTACTGGTGAGATTTCAAAACTCAGAAACTTATTGTTAAAGTCTGGTAAAAAATGCTTTTACTTTAAACCCAGATTGCAGTGACCCATGCACACAGGAAGTGGCCTATTGACACCAGGTCAGCCAGTGTTATATAGACATATCATCCAGTCCAGGCTTGACTCCTCAACCAGCAGCTAGCTAGTACATGCAGTAGATATGTGGCACATAATGAGCTGAATGTCATTTGAATATTAAAGGGGCATACAATACACCTTCTGCCTGCTGTTATCTCTTTTCTTTATCACTCACACAAATCCATACTAAGTACATGAGTAATTCTAAGCTGAACTCCCCTTGCCCTCTTTGCTTCCAGTCTGGCAAAAGATTTCTGAACTTTCTACAGGCCTAATCTCCATTTTGTGGTGGAGGCATGAACATTTGTCCTTGTCATGCAGGTTAAAGCAAATACCATAGGTATGGTGGGACATCACATATGCATTCCTATATAATATTCTAATATTCTTTTATGACACAAACACATTTGATCTGTTAGTACTATTGGTCAAGGTCATGTTTTTTGCTTTAGCAACTACACATGTAAAAGTGGTGAAACTAGTGGTAAACTACACATACAAAGTGGTGAAAAAAAGCTCCACATCTGGGATTTCTTACCCTTCTCTTCCCTCGCTCTCTCTTTTTCTGCTCTCTCTCTCTCTTTCTGTATCCATTTTTCATCCGTCTCATCTTCTTTCTTCCCTGTGGAAAATCATGAATAATCTTATAAATATACCCGCCCCTTGTACCGCATTATAAAGGCACGTCTCTCTGAGTATTAGTGAGTCATTAGGAACCGTAAACAGTAAAAGGGTCACAAAGGATCATTTATAAATCTGGAAAGTCATGACTGTTTATCCCTTTTTCCTTGCCGTTTGCTTTGTTGGCACAAAGTCTCAGTGCAGTTAAACCAGTAGAGTAATATAAAACATTTGGGTTATATTTTATGTGTGTGTGCGTGCATGTGTGCATACTCATTCCGTATTCGTCATAATCTTCATACCATGTCCCCTCATAGGGAAGAGTGGCTGTGGGCTCTTCTGTGTAAAAAAGATAAAGGTGAAGTCAGACAATTCATTCATTTGCTCAGAGGCAGTGCTACAAAAGGGAGATTTTATGAGATTACATGGTTTAATCTGCCAAGTTTTACAGATTAGTACAGGCCTGGTTGAGTCAACCACAACAAGAAGTTCTCTATTTGGATGCAACGCCTACTATGTAGTTAAGATGTTAAATCTTTCATTTATAAGAACCATAACAACTGTGATCTGATGACAGGGTTTTTTCGTCCACAACAAAACCATGGAAAGCTTTGTTTGTTTGACTATAACCCATCCATTCGTGTTTGAAATCTAGGGCACGTTAGCTCACAGACAATCTATACTATCATTCCCATCTGCTTAATTACTCTTGATTTCTCATCTGCTTCCAGCATAAAGGTGAACATTTCATCTGCATCTCAACTCTAAAAGGTTTAATACTAAATAACCGCCTAACTGAAAATTAGACATATGTTTGAGTAACAGAAGTTACCTGGTAGAGTTTCTACTATGATTTCAGGGCTGACCTCTTTACCGTCAGGGAATGGAAGATTATCTGGCCCCTCAACTGCAGGAGTGAAAAACATTAAAACAATTCAAAAGTCAAACATGGGGATTATTTGTATCAGGAACAGGAGACTGTGACAGAAAAGACAAGACGGGACAGTGAGGGTGAATCTGGAAATGTTGGAAAAGTGGAGGTGCAGTGTGCTGGAAACACATGAGAACTTGTCCAGTCTGGTCCAGACAAGTGTCACGCAGCCACAAGACAGACTGTTTCCAGCTTCTGGGCCTGTGGAATAACTGTTCCACATATTAGACATACAGCTCTGTTTTAAAAAAGGGATGAACCGTGTGCTGTGATTATTAAGAGCCTGTATTTGGAAGAAATTTTAAAAAATTAAGTCATCTGAATCAAAAATGTATCAGTTGACAGAGCTAGAAATTTTAAGTTTGATAATAGAAACATTGCAACTTCTTCTTAAACTGAGCTGACATAACTAGTTCACCCTGACATTCAGCAAATTTTGGTTCTTATTTTCTCAGCTTCTACATTTTTACAGCAATGGCCTTCTTTTGGAGTAATACACTGTTATGTGCAAAATACCAGAAGTTTCAGAAACCCCCTTTTGGTCAAATCCTAGTCCTGTATTCAATTGTTTTTCTTTGTTGCTGCAATACCCCCCGCCTCACATCACCATGGTTTTATCTCATTCTGTTTGTGTTTAATAAACTGTCACCCCAGAAACATCCTCAATCAAAACAAAGCAGGGAGAAACACAAAGTCAGACATACATGTGGCATCCCAGTAATCGCCGTCATCTGTGCCAGCCTTCCCATCAACCTCAGGGGCAGGAGCTGTAGGTTCCACCTCTTTCCAGTAGCTGTCATAGTTGTCAGTCACTGAAGGATAAGGCTCATTCTCCTCTGGGTTCCAGTAGTCATCAAAGTTGTCTGTCACAGTAGCAGCTGGGACTTCCTCCTCTGGCTTCCAGTAGTCATAGGGTAGATCTGTGATAGGAGCCTCGGGCTGAGGCCTGGATGGTGTGGGTTCAACCTCCCAGTAGTCATCGTCTGGTTTCCAGTAATCTGAAACAGATGGAAAGAGTATCTGATGTTGGGCACAGATATTGAGAAACACATTTTTTTTTAAAATGGTTTTCAAGTTTATATCTTTAGATTCTTTTCTTTTTTCAGTTATTGTTTTTCAGCAAGAAGTCACTGCAATTTTCAAACCTATAAACAAATTATAAATAAAGAGTGAGTGCCTGGAGAGGTGCCTAAAATATCCAAGGGACTGTTCACAAATGATCAGGTCAGATAATGTGGAAGGTTCTTTTTTTCCCTTTTTGCTAAGGGGAGGATACTCTGGCCCTTTTGCAAGAAGAGAAGGATTTTTTTATTTTTTACACCATAAATTTATAGTTCAGCATCCCTGTGCTGGATTTATATTCATAATAATAATTTTAAAAATGAATCGAATAGTCACAAAGGATGGTTTTTGTGTGCACAGTGGGCCATCTGCAGAGGACATGTCTCTGTTTATTTTTCTCATCACAATAAATGTTATTGCTACCAAACATTACACTTAATAAATGCATAAAAAAGTTGAATGTGTCATATAAAGGTGGCCTATTAAGATGAACTTTAGCCTTTTATTATGTATGCCATAAATTTGGAAGTTTGTAATTACACTGTAAATTTGTGCATTGTTTGCTATTGCATAAATATGTTAAAGTTTATATTAGATTACACCATTTTAAAGAGTACTCCTTAGCATTTCTCCAACACTGTCAAACTCACAATGGACAGTTTAAAGACAAAAAAGGATCAAAATCCATGTAAGCAGAATCAGACATACCTTTTATTCTACACATTCTTCTTCCTTCTCAAAACATGGTGCATACCTTCAGCATGGTACATACCCACAATTCAGCTGGGGTCTAAACATTTCATGTAGAAATTCAGGTATGCTATTCTAACAGCAGCTCAGATGAAGAACAGGTGGAAGAGGTCTGGTAAGCTCACTTATTTCTAAGTCCACAGTCCCAGTTGTCCCCCCTAAGCCATGTAGTTTGCAGACCCACTGACTCAAGTGACAACACTAGATGCATCATTATCACCATCATCATCAGCAGGAGGCATTTTATGAGATTTTATACAACTCCCTCTGGAGCCACAAAAGGTCTTATATCATTGTTTTTCTTATGCAACAGTACTGTCCGAGATCAGTCAACAAACTTTAATGTATAAAACTGGGGGTGTTCCCTTTAAATTCTTCAATTTTTTTTCTTTTTTATGCATTTATGCATGTTGGAAAGAGTTGTACTGACCCAGTACTATATTTTTAGATATTAGGAGAAGGGCATTGCTGTGTTTTCCTAAGTCATAGGTCCAAATAAAATATAAATAAGGCAGTGGAGCAAACTGAAATGTAATGTTCCACCCCCGTTCTCACCCCAGTAATTTTTATACAGTCCTTAGTGTGTGCCACTCACCAGCATCAGGATCAGGATAAGAGTACTCTGTGTATGGCTCTGCTTCAGTGGGTGGTTCAGTCGGGACAGCTAGAGACAGCAGACAGACACAAGGTCAACAACATCTGTTCAGGTACAGGTTGTTCAAGTACAAACACTGATCATTGCTCTGTCCTGTCCTCACCTGTTGTGGTTGGTGGCAGAGTTGTTGTTGTTGTCGTTGTCGTCGTCTGTTTGCCCTTCTTCTTTCCCTTCTTCTCAGTTTTGGGCTTTTTGGTAGCCTTGGGACGCTTTGGCTCTTTGTTCTTCTTCTTGTCCTTCTTTTTTTTGCCTTCGTCTGGTGCTTTCCTCACCCTGCTCAAAACACCTGGACAGATGAGGAAAACCGAAGAGGCGAGAGGTTTTCTATTGGTCAGAATCAAATTAAGTACACAGCACTCATGATCAGAAAAATATTCTTTCATAGATGATCATCTCTTTTTTTAATTTATTTCTCTCTTGCACATTTCCTGTGTGATGAAGCAGGTCACAATCTGCCAGTACTATTTAAATGGAAAATTAGTATTGGGTGAAAGCATAATCATTGACAACTGAAGCAAAAATCAAAGCAAATGAAATTCCCATTTGTATTTTTGTGTGCATCATTCATTCAGTATTGCATTTTAGAATTAAATTCCACAGTAATTTCTTTCCTGCAATGTCAAACTGCACAGACAGGGGAAAGAAAATCAGCCAGACACATTTCAGTGGTTGCTTGAGGTCTATAAGTATTTCCTTCTAAGGTTGTCTGAAGTACTGAGGCACTTTCATGGAAAACACTCCTCTCTCTTTCCATTAGTTGTGCTCCATTGACCACAATTCAATTTTAAAGATACAAAATCCTTCCAAATCACTCTCATCTCAGCAACATGTTAAAGGATAAATCCATCAGTGGAACCAATTACAGAGCTAGTTTGGACTGATGAGTATTACATCTGAAGCTTAGAAAGCTCCAGAAAAGCGATTTGTCAGCATTAATCATCAATGGTTACTGCAGCTGCAAAAATGTGCCAGCAAGATGTTCGACTAAGCGGCTTCCTCTCTTATCTGATGTGAGCCAGAAATATTTGATTTATATTTTTATTCCCTGCTGTGGAGTAGTAGTAGTGGGCAGGTGAGCACCTGGACTTTCTCATGCCTGCTGGAGCTGTCAAAGAACAAATGGGTGTGTGTTTGTGTCCGTTTGCTCCTCCATGTCATGGTGGTATAACTCACACCACAGCTGAGCAGCTCTGATGTCTTGCTTGTGTAAAATATTTGTATTTTTATATGTAGAAGTAGAACTTTCTCCACTCACCTTCCAGTGCAGCTTCATCAGTCTCTCTCTTGGCCTTACTGTTGTTTCTCAGTGGGTGTGGATCCTCTGCAAGTCCTTGCACAATTTCTGGATCATCCAGAGACTCGTCTCGCAGCCGTTCCCCTGCCTGCCTCTCCTCTACACTGTGTCGGAGAGAAGCTATCCCCCCAGCACTCTCCCCTCCTCTGGGGATCAACAGGCAGCACACGGCCAGCAGAGCCACAGACACAACCACAATCTGACCTTTCATACCTGCTGCTCTTCCAACCGCAGAATTCAGTCCTCAATCCAATTTATCCTCGTCAAGATTTATATTTCACCCTGTCTTCGGTCTGTGTCCTTTCCGTGTGATCAGCAACAGGGAAATTACTGTAGTTCCATGAGTACCCACAGTCATAGAGTCAACCAGGCTCAGACTGGGCTAGACAGAGATAGAGTGGGAGGGGGGTAGAGACAGACAGGGAGGGAAGGAAGGTGGGCTATAGAGAGAGAGAGCAAAGCAGCAATCCAGTCAAATGAATAGACTGGGTTCCTAATTGCCCTTCAGTTACAGTCAGCTGAAAAAACTGTGCAAGGCTAGAGGATCCACTTCACCTGGCGTGTCGAAACAGGTGCAGGACGCAGACAGCAGATGGGGGGAGTAGGAGGAAGAGGAGGATGAAAGAAGGCAAGGGAGGCCTCAGACTGCCGGGCTGCAGTAAGGCAGCAGATCCTTTCTTGCAGATCTGGTTGAATTCCTCAGCAGAAACATTCAGTCCAACAGACTCACCACAGAGCAGAACAACAGGAACAAGCAGTGACTCCTAGGACCCTGAATTCCACAAGAGGAAGAGGGGGAGAGAAAGGGGGAGGATAAGGGATTTTCTGTGTGTATTAACAAAACCAACCACCACTAATCATCAAGGGAGAGAAATTCAATGAGAATGAAAACAGGCAGGAGTAGAATGTAAATTCTTTTTCACTCCAGGACTTGTTTTTGCTTAGGAATGAATCTTTGCTTTCCATTACACCTCTGTGGTGCTCAGTCATTCTTTCCCCAGGCTGCTGCTTGGTTTGCTTTCTCCATTCTGGTGAAAAGGTATTAGTGGGCAAAGAGGCCATGAAGGTGAACTGACGGAGCAGATGACAGAATACTTGGTGTTTTCTTTACCATCCCCCTCCTCTGTCCATTGCTTGGAGAGCCTGTCAGGGTCTTCAAATACTGGACATGTAGCATATTTTGCCACCTAACAAGTGACAGTAAACTTTTGGTCCTCACTGGTAATGCAGAGCTATTTATCCTCGGTTAGGGGTTATGATGATGCAATTCCAGATGAGGATGTTAGACTGAATCTTTTAGCAAAATGTCCAACATGTATAAGCACTGCAGTAAAAGTAAGGCAAAATCTGTCTGAGGAAAAACTGAGTTTTCCTAAAAACTCCACTGTCTGACACAGTTTTTTAAATCCAGAAACACCTGATGTTAGAATAAAGCATTGTAAATAAAACATTGTACAGTCCTGTCTCTGCTCAGTTATTAGAATGAATGAGTCTTACACTGGGCACATGTGTAGAATGAATGAGTCTTACACTGGGCACTGGGCACATGTGCCTACAAGACAGACACACAGGTGCATGCCAACACACACACACACACACCATGAAACTATACAGTTCATACTATCTTCGATTGTGAGGACAGTAAAATAAAGTTACATTTAAAAAGAAAGTTGACTGTGGAACAACAAATTTTTAAGAAAACTGCACTTCAACACTCGTATCTGTGGAGGATATGACTAAGGCTGTGAAGAACGCAGCAGATAGTTCAGACTACAGTAAGGTCAAGCAGAGTCTTTTTCAACTGGCAAGGATACAGGCACACAGGGAAGCTAGCTGGAAAATGCATTTGCTTTTTCTTCCCCATGATGGCCTTTGCCGGGGTCTGGTATGAACACTTGCCTACAGTAGCTAACAGCATGTTAAAGTAATTCTGTGCTTTTCATCTCTCAACTCAACGTTTCCTTTCTTTCCTTAAGGAAAAGCAGCAACACCACACTGTAAAAATACCCCATTCAAAAGTTGAAGGTCTGTGAGTATTATTAGCTAAATGTACTACAAATACCAAGTCAAGGAATCCAGTGCAGAAAAGTGTGAGTAGCATCGTACTGTTGTAGAGACTGAGCTATTGTATTGTATTGCTTTATGTATTGTAGTAGTAGTGTTTTATGTAATGTATAACAATGCATAGTATTTCATAAACCCATGAAGAATTATTTATATAAAAACTGCAGCTGCAAAACAAATAAAGTAAAAATGAAAAGGTTTTTATGCCATTTAAATACACTACTTAAAGTGCAATACTATAAAGCCGACAGAGGCCATTCAGAATACTTTTACTTCTAATACATCTTGATGATAATAAATCCATACACTTAACTACAGATTTGAATGGAGCAAAGGTACTTTTTGACAGCTTGGTGCTGCTACTCATTACTTTAGTAGGCTAAAGGCTGTGAATACTTCCAAAATTACTATACACGCATGGGAATGTGTACAAACTGATGCAAAATTCAGCAGTTCAGGATCCTCTCACGTCACACATGGTGACTAATGTTCAGACAATGCATCAGAGTGAGTTTTGCCAACTTTCAGCCAAGAAGATTTAGCATATTTTTGAAGAGAAAATTGACAAAGACCATGAGTGCTGGGCCTTAAACATTGCAGGACATACTGTAGGACAGCTGTTCACACTTAGACATGGTTTAATTGCAATGCAGACAAGAGAAACTAGGACACTTCACAGAATTGGCTTTTAATGTACCTGACATCAGTTCTATTTGTGCTTGTATAATCCTATAGGTCCTATAAGCTGAGCAGTAAATGATGCATTAAAGCAAGGGCCTGTGCACACAGCTTTGAGCTGAGCATCAGCATCTACTGGGCAGGAAATAATGACATCAGAGAGAGAAAAATGAGGAAGAGAGTGAGGGGGAGGAAAGGCGAGGGCAAGAGTGAGAGAAAAATGCTGTAATCCAGCAGGCTCACTAGGTACAAATGGAAGGAGATTTATAGAACTCCATCCTGCCTTCTTGTCTTCATTCTCACTGGGCACCCAGATGCCTTAACACTGATTCATGAGGGGTTTCTGTGTATTGTTATTGACCGGTTAAACGGTTCCTGAGAATTGCACTTGAAGCTGTCTCTGTGTGTCTTTTTCTCTTCACTGAAATCACTTACACATGAATTCATGCTATTAAAAGCACAGACAGCACTGAAGACTATAAAAACAGATATAAAAACAACAGAAGCGTGAATCTTACTTGTATGAGTGATTAGCAGAGATGTTTTTCCATTGCGAGTATGTTGTGATTCAGCAGGTCCACCACAGCCCAGTCATCTGGCACTGTAGGACTGCAGCCATGAGGCTGATTAAGCACAGATGTAGAAACATGCAGCACCAAGATTCCTTTGGAGGCATCCCAGATGTATTGAACCAGGACCAAACCCCTTTGCCTGATCAGTTGAAAATATTTCTACATTGTACTGGAGTGGGACAGTATCACAATTGTGCCTCAGTCTAAATAACAATGAAGCGGAGACTGAAAGGTTTTGGCCTGTAAGAATCTAAACAGTGTCTGCACAGCCTGCCAGTACTGGTGCTCCATCCTAATGATGCAGCACCAATAAAAAACCTAAGAGGTTCACTCAAAGATAAACAACCAAAAGGTACAATAAATAAAGATTAGGCTTAAAATCTCAGAGGACTTAAGTGGCAGTGTGCCAAAGCTAAAGCACTGACAAATAGTCAGAAGTAAAACTTTAACTTCTGCTACTGAACAAGTTTATTTGTGTACTCTGGTACATGAAACACCATATGAATTATACAACATCTCTGAACTATGATATTGTGCATCAGCTCGCAGCCATGGTCATTTGAGCCATGAAGCTAACATAGTGTGCGCTCCAGTGGGTGAATCACAGAAAAACATCCACTGTAGCTCAGTCACTTTCTAAAACTTATTGCACAGTATTAGTTAGAGCTTCTCAAATATGAAAATTAGCTTTCCAGTTTCATTTGTTCTCAAACTAAATATCTTTAGGTTTTGGACTGTTGGTTGCAGATAGTGTTGAGAAAACTGGAAAACATTTTGCTCTTTAAGTTTAACTGGCAGTGACATTCAAGTGTCAGTTTAATGCCCATTGTTGCTTTTGTATCATTATTTGTTAGTGCAAAACAGTCAAGTACATCGATTTGTTATTCTATGAAATGTGCATGATTACTATGTAGTATAAAATACTTATTTATAAGATTCAGTAGAAAGTCAAAGTAGAATTCAGTGAAATCATAGAGAAATATATAAATTTTAAACAGCATTTATTTAGCTTTCCCCATACACTTAATGTATAACAGCACATACTGTATCCTGAAATAACAGTATAAAACAGGGCTTTTACAATCAAGGTTCAGTCATAAAATGTTCTGAAGGAGACGATGACAACAGCAACAGCAAGACACCTTCATAAAGCGCAGACTATTGAGAGAAGTGCCTGGATTTGCCGAGCCGGTGCTCTAGGAAGCAGAACTTCAGACCACAACTCTCAAAGCATGTGACATCCTGCAAAAGCAAGAACCCATGTTTGTTTTTTTGTTTTTTTTAAATCTCTTCTCTTGGTTATGGTTGCACAACTGATGAGATTCCAAATTATGACCAATGTGTATGAATATGTTCTATTATACCTGCTGCAAATATAACTTTTGGTAATAGGAGAGGATACACACCAGGCCTTGTCTGGATACTGAATATATACCAAGGTCAAAGCATACACTGTGTTATGACTGCTAATCAAGCTTATATCTTTACAATTTGTCTGTGACTGTAGCTGTAAAGACGGGATTGTTTCTGGGTGTTTTCTGACATCAAACACTTAAACACTTCAAAAGTATACTATACTATCACTGAAGCCACAAGAAAACCAGCTTAATTCAACATGTTAAACATCAGCCAATTATAAATCGATTTAAGAAGTTTTTTTTTAAGTTTTTTTTTAAATCTGCATACAGTATGTGCATCAGAGCGTGTGTGGGCCTATATAGTCTACAAATGTGTCTTTAAATAGAATATACATAACATCGACCAGCTTTTATGTTAGTTTGCCATTATGTAGTGCTTCAGGTGTTACACTGTATACAGTATATAATGTGTCCAATTGGTATGAGAGAAGGCCTAGGTACAGGGAATCAGAAAAAGATGAGTCTGACTAAGAGGCCAAACAAACATCCGGAGAGAGAAAGAAGAGATTTGTCTCGAGTTCTGAGGTAAGCGATGTGTTTCAGTATAATGCCCTACAGACAGTCATACAGTTACAATCATTAATCCTGTATATACAAACTTCCTGATTTACATACACTGTACTGCTCCTCAGTTTAAATTTTAATACAACTAAATGTGAGCACATATCTGTGGTGCAATTTTTTTAAAGCAAGGAGGGGGAATCTGACTCATGAGGTGGGCGACAGTGACCATTATGGCTATTGAAGATGGCCCATTCCCTCTTGCATACATCACCCTATCAAATATCTACAACAGTGCAAATTCGTCTGATCAATCAGAACACTTGCAGTCGGCAAAACTACACCAGTTCATTTTTTAAGTATATGGTGGAGAACAGAGATGGCAGAGAACAGTTGTCTGAGTAGATGTTGACACTGGAAATTTACCATTAGGCCTGCAAGTTTTAAGGGCCACCAACCAGCACTCTAGTCCACATGACACCACTGGACGTAGGCACCATGTTTACTGTCACCAGAAGAAAAACCTTTCCCCAAAACACACAGTGCCACCTGAATGTGTCTACTGAAAAAAGCTGCATGAAAATATGACATGAATGTGCTATAGTAGTAACAGTTTGCCCACTCATTGACACTACAGAGTGTATCTGAGACATGACATCAACAGGCTTTACGAAGAGGAGGCTATAGGATGCTACAGTACTAGTGCTACCTGAACATGCTACAGATTGAGACTACAACGACAGGAGGTTTCACATTAGCACAAAACAGGAACCAGCTTTGCTGAGGAGCTCTACCTGCTGCAGGCCACAGAGCTGCTGAAATCAGCTGTGTCCAGAACCGACATCTGGTTTATAACACGAGCAAACCAAAGAATGTGTTTATCCTAGAACAAAGAACACGTTCTGTGTTTTAGGATAAGTGTTAGTGTGTGCACCATTTTTAAACTGACAAAGGTACCGTCTTTGCAGCTTGATGGATCAAGTACTTAGTAAAGCTGGCTTACTGCGTGCAGAGCAAAACACCCCATCTGTAATCAGTTTCTGTCATACAACATACATACTCACTTACACAAGCACACAAACCCTGAAGTTAGGAACAATATCTATAGTTACACAGCACTATCATTTTGATTATCATTGAGTAAGAGCTGGAATTGCATACTGTACCCTACATCTCCTCGAGAGAGGCACCCTTCATCAGTATCAGCTCATTCACTCCACCACACGCTCACAATCACTCATACACACAGAGGAATAAATTTTAATTGGTCAGAAAAACTTACAATCACATGCTTTTTTTAACGGAATGTAGAGAAAGCTCATACAAGATCTCTGACTTTAGCTGGGACCGAGCTAAGCACACAGACTCTGTTATGAAGTGTCCCCTTAGCTTTAATAGTAAGAAGCTGAGAAGTCAAAAGACTTTCTGATGTTCTGTTGGACTCAAACAATGTTAAAAATCCTTCTCACGGTCACTCAGCTATCACCTTTGCTGACAGCTGTCTGTTCATAAAGAAGTAAAATAGGTATTTATATTTTAATTATTTAAAATATATTCCCCCATATTAAGTGGGAGCTCTGGACCTAGTCTATCAGCCCTGGCAACAGACTCCACACATCTGGATTAAGTGTCCATTCTTGACCAACTTTCACATACCACTTATTTCATTCACACTAACAGAGATTGCAATGTGATCAGACCTTTAAAGAAAGCTGCCTTAAAAGCTTACTGTGTAGGATTTGAGAAAAGAATCTACTTGCAATTTCTGCTGCCCACTCAAAAGACTGATGATTTTTCCTATCTGCTGCTCCCCACTCACTCATGCTGAAAACCTGTTTTGTCTAGAGCCAGGCTCAAAACTGGTTCATTTTCCTCTTATCACTGTAAACTCAACAAAACATTTAACAATATGCATAACAATGTTGCCCTTCAGCTGCGTTATAGGCTGTTAGCATGCTGTCGCAAAGCCTTTTTACTCCCGTCTGCAACGCTAACATCCCCTGACAGAGATTCTCGAAACACAAGTGTGTACATTTTGGATTTGTAGACAGGCATAATTTAACTACAAGAAGAAGAATCTGGCAAATAAATCCACAGAAAAGTGCAAGCATTAACCTTCACGCTGTTTTTTGGTGACATCTTGTGTTTCTGACCAGCATCAGCTCTTTGTGTTTAAGTATTGTGATTTATGTAAAAAAAAAAAAAAATAAAAAAATAAAAAAATCAAGACCCCCAAGCTTAATCTGATCAAAGTGCAGCAACCCAGCATTAGTGGAGGGAGTGGAAGTGTTTGAATAGGTTCAGATAGCAGGTCCTAAATCAAGGTCTGGTGGGGTTCTTCTTCTGGCTCTCTAAGTAAGCCGCTCACACATTCACATAGATATACTCACAAACAGGACTGCTCACACACATGCACACACAGTCTAGCTTAGATGAGACTGGCCTCTCCCTCCAAGTCTGGTGGCAGATCACACACTCCTGTGAAGTGCATCTCCTTTCCCTTGCTTCCCTGTTCCGTCCCAGCTCTGGCCGCACGCTCTCCCAGGCTTGGAGAGGACTGCTGAGCCTGAGGATCTGGCGATGTCCCATAGACGATTCCACCTGTCTGCCTCTCCTTCAGGAAGACCTCTAGTTGACGCAGCATCTGCTTGGGGTTCTTTCTGGCAAACAGCTCCACTTCTGAAAAATTAGAAAACAGAGAAATACATGCTGGGGTGGCAGTCTGTGTTAAACTAGACTTCTGCTGTGTTGAGTTCAATACAAATACTTGGAACTTTTGACGTGGTGTTTTAACAGAAGAGGATGACATTTTGGAAAATACACAAATTCACTTTCTTAAAGTTGGAGTCAGACGAGATTAATATCACTCACATATCCATCCAATAAATATGAAGCCAAAGCCAGCAGACAGATAGCTTAGCGTAGCACAATGAAATGGGCAAACAGGCAGCCAGGCTCTGTCAGATGGTAATGAATTGACCCTACTACATCTCTAAAGCTCATGAGCCAAGTCGCTGTAGCTCCTCTGTTTAATACAAACAAAAAGAAAAGTGTAACAATGGCTGCGGTTTCACCAGGTATTAAGTACATGGCTCTTTGTTGGCTAGGTGTAGTGGGCTTATGTTGTTTTATCTGGACAGATTTTGTTGCCTTTGGACCTCAAAGCCACCCCCCCAGAGGTTTTTATTAGTAGTAGTAGTAAAAAAAAAATACAGTACTATATTTTCTCTTTACCTTTTAGCACAAAGCCAGAGTCAACAATGGTCTTCTGCTGGGTCTTCCACAGTTGGTACAGGTGCAGATATGTGGCAACGTAGAACTCATTCAGGACACCAACCACTTGCTGACGTCGATTGCACTCCCTGGTATGACCCGACACACAAGCAGTGTTGGTGTGACATACAACAAAGCCATACACCAATGTTTCCCCTCGGATTTTTCCAGCAGCAGGACTGTTGTTCTGTGTGTGGTGTGTGACATATTTATGCATGGCAGTGGATGAACAGCTTAATACTATCTTAGAATTGTTAAAGTTATATATGTTTGTTTTGTTGTGTGTTAATTTACCTTGAGTTTTTGACATTTAGTAGTAGTAATAAATATCAAAGAATGAAATGCCTCAACACAGAAAAAAACAAACAAAACATACACTGTTCTTACTGAACAAAGAGAAAGAGATAAGTACAGACTGGAACATGAAAGCTGCCTTGGAGTTTGCCCCGGGGGAGCAGGACAACACACCCAGCACGTGAGCATACTGTGGTCCCTGGCATCCCTAATCATATTCAACAGTACTAAACAAGCCAATGTAGTACTATCATAAATGTAGTAGTATCACATATACCAGTGCTATGAGTTTGATATTGTTCATTTGGGTTGCATGTCTTTCTTTCTAATTGAACAACAACATTCAAACCAATACACAGCTACTATGCTTTTATATCCTCACCTTGAATAAACACACGTGAACAGATGAAATCTTCTGACACCCATTACTTTGCTAGTTAGACACGCCTGGACTGTACCATCTACTCAACACAGCCAATATAATATCCTACATGACTGGTTCATACTGCATCATGCTTTATGATGATGTTTTGTTTATTAACTTAGCATCTGATAGCTATGGCGAGCAAAGCAATTGAATTTCCCTGCTCACCAGCTGCCCTCTACTGGTGAACATCTTCACCTCTCTATCCCTCTTGTGCAGTCCAGCTCCCCTGCTCCCTCTCTGCTGCTCCTAACACTGCTGGCTGCCACCAAAGAACTGGAACTGATGCTCAGTTCTTTTGTCTAACTTCACTAATAAGTGAACAGTTCACTTACAGTTTGGAAATCTGCATTTTGTGTTTCTCAGCTACTTAGAACAGAAACGATCAGACTATTTCACTGCTGTCTACAAACTTTACTAAACTAAACACCTATTTACACCTATTTAACTGCATATGAACATAAATGAACAATGCTATTAGTGTTTATCCCTATATTAAACTATCTGTCAGTTGTTTTATAGCGGGTTCCAACCTTGTGTTCTGAATTTGGCTGGATTTAGTTTGTCTTTAAAAAAATTAAACCTGAAATGTTTTTCTAGCAGTTTAACAACTAAACGTGGTTAGGAGCTGTGGACATCCTTACAAGCAACCTATAAAGGAGCAACAGGGTTATAAAGTCCATGGTTAAAACAGTGTTATGCAAAAATTACTAGTAATTTAACTACTTACTCTGTGGAACTATTTAAACAAGTCTCTATTTTTGATTACAATTCAAGTCTTTCCACTGAACTCTGATTCTGTTTGTACTATGAAAGCTGCTGCAGCATTTACAGTCTGTTAGCTTCAGCATGAAGGGTGTGTGAATTAGATGGTGGACTGACAGTCAATCAGTGTTAACAGGATACAGTGGTGTTGACATGCAAAAGGAAGCCATCCTAAAGTTTTTAGAAGAAACTGTGAGACAGAGCCTGTGGTTTTAATGCATTAACAGGTGTCTGCAAAGTGTAAATGCTATTTTAGTATTTGCAAGGTGGGTAAAGGGCATTTAACCTCAATTACAGCCCTTAATCTGGAGTGAGCGCCCCACTTAGTAGGCTTGACCAGCCCTGACTGCAGTGGAAAGCTCACTTTGTGGGCATTATATTTGGACATGAATATTAATGAACCATGTTAAATTTCAGCACACCACTCATGATTTTTATGTATATGGGGGAAACAATGAAAAAAAATTCCAAAAAGTGTGGTCAAACAAAAGCTGAGGACCAGTGACTCACTTAGACAAGGCTTCCTCTCTGAGTATTTGCAGAGCAATGCGGGTCATGTTGATTGACATCACACTGAATGGAAAGTTCTAAATCAGAAAAAATACACACACACACACAAAAAAAACATAGGTCTTCAAGGAACAGGAAAGCTCAAAAGCAAGTCATGAAACAAGCTGGTCTTGTAGCCGGCTTTAGTGATCTCCTCCCAGAGGGGAAATTTTCTTTTGCTCTACTTCCCTCTGCACAGAGGACAAAGGTGGAGTGGGAGGAGCTTCAGTATCTTTCTGAAGGAGCAGTCCAATCTGATTCACAATGAATGTAAACATAATACACATCTCCAGTACCATTTGCCAACTCTGGCATGAGAAAACTGCCTTACAGGAGTGTGATTTATGATGACGTGATACCTGTGTAGGGTGCTGTGACAGCTTGTAGATGTCTCTAGCCAACGGTAGAGTCTCCGGGTCCATCACAAAGTACAGAGTATGCATCAGTCCCAGAAAACCAGTGCCACGAAGGTCAGTGGCTGGGTCTGTACCTGCAGCATAAACAAACCAACACAGAGACAATCTGGAGTGAATACTGTCAATAAAAGAAAATTTTACTTCACATTAAAGAGCAAGAGTTCTCTAGCAACATAAATTTAATTTGAACATCTACAGACTTGAACCACTCTATTTACAGTGATGGGATGTGCAGGCCTCTTACCCTGAAAGCCAATATTTTCCCAGTGTGCTCCATAGCGAGGACAGTCCAGCCTGCTGCCAATTAGTCTCTTATAAATGGTCTGGAGGACACGCATGTGGACTGTTTGGCTGTTGTCCACTGGACCTATAAAACAAAGACAAAAAAATACAACACACACACAAACACACGCAGGAGAAAGTAAAAATCAGTAGCTTGTTAGAAATACTCATGAATGTTACACCTGGCGGGATGATTACACACTGCAAATACACACAGACTCACACTGTGCGATGGCAAAGACCAGATCCCTCTCCTCCAAGAGTTCCCTGTGCAGTCGCGGAGGTCCAAAGAGGAAGCGTGTGATCGCAGCCAGACCTGTGCGCCGGATGGTTGGCTGGATGTTCTTCTACAGATGGAGAGGGAGGCAAAAATAAATAATGCTTTAAAATCACAGTTATTAATAAAGTTCCTAAGCAAATACAGTTATGCACTTGATTCTTATTTGAATATTTTTATCATTATAATTAGAAATGGAGCTGCAATTTCAATCCACTGTAATAAGTCCAAACTAAACTGAGTAAAATGATGATGATGCTCTGTCCCTGGATTTACAGCTCACCGTTTACCATTAGGTGCAGTTTCCCTGCTAGATGAGGGACACAGGTCTTTATTTGAGACAAGCTTTTATTTCAGACTGCCATTATTTCTGATTTGCTTTTCTTTCATTTTTCTACTGCTTAGTCCCTGAACGGGGTCACGGGTGGGGCCGGAGCCAATCCCGGCCGGCAATCAGGCGAAGGCGGGGTACACCCTGGACAGGTCGCCAATCGCAGGGCTAACACATAGACGAACAACCACACATACACGCACGCACTCCTATGGGCAATTTTAGAGACACCAATCAACCTAAGCTGCATGTCTTTGGTCAGTGGGAGGAAGCCGGAGCACCTGGAGAAAACCCACGCAAGCACGGGGAGAACATGCAAACTCCACACAGAAAGGTCCCGGGTGGGGCCCGAACCTGGAACCTTCTCGCTGTGAGGCAACGGCGCTAACCACTGTGCCACCGTGCTGCTTTTCTTTGCTGTGTTAATTTGCAGTTGCTGGTGTATGCTGTTACTGCAAACTCAACACTTCCTCTATATTTTTCTACAATATCATGATTCTAGCAGTTCCCTTCCAGTCCCTGGAAAGCTTTAACTGTGAAATCATCACACTCAAAAGTGTGGATATAGCATGACCACGCTGTTTTGCTGATAGAAATAATAATGACAGAAATAATGTAAATTATGCTGAGTTCACCATCTGAGCCAACATAGTGCTGTTTTGTTTTCTAGCCTTTATTTGTTCCAACAAATCACACTGGGCCAATTATGTGCACTTGATCTTATTTGAGACATGAATATTTAAAAAACAAATTTGGTATGTTTCTTACTAGCAAGTCCCCAAGGTCTGTGGTCTGGAAGTACTGCAGAGCTTCATTGAAGGAGATGAGTGGGGTTGGGTTCAAATCTTCAGTGAAAGCTGATGAATATTATGTAAAGAGTTTTTTTCTTTTAAAACATTAGCCTAAAAAATATAAAGTCATCTTCACTGTGAAGCAAACAGGTGAAAGAGTGAAATGCATATAACCTGGCTGGACGTTCTCCAGAGCCTCCCACTCCTGTCTGGCCTTTTCCAACTCCACATCTTCCTCTACAAAGTGAATCAAAGGTGAGGTAAGAATACTAACTATTTAATCAACAGTCTTTATGCACACACACACACATTTAATTGGCCATAGCACTGGAAATGCATGAGCATCTACACAACCCACCCAATGCATTATCAGTCATAAATCCTTCCTAGCTAAAGCTACATTCACATCACAGCTAAAGTGACTCAAATCAGTTTTTACCTTCTAACTTCACTGACATGGAAATTATGTTATTGTTATTTTTGCAAACATCCAGTTAAACCTGTGCATGTGTGGCAGTTCAGGACCTCAACATACATGTCACTTAAAACATGAATGTGAGCCATCAAAACAAAAAGACCAGCACTGAACATTAAGGCCTGTAACATCACCGTAGCCTTCTAAACTGGCATCATCAAGAGTGCCGCTGAGACCCAACGCTTCCTCCAAACAGGCAATCTTCACTCCTGAGGGAGGTTTTACCTGCAACAGCTGACTGGTATCTAGGATGCATTTACCAGTTCCTGTGGGAAGAGGATCTATGAGAGCATGTGTGTGTTACCTGCAGGCTTAGGCTGGTTCCCTCCAGCTGCCAGGGTCTGCAGAAGACCATTCTGCTTCAGTGCTGAAATCTGGACAATAACCAAATAACAGATTAGATTAAATGAAAAGAGGGTCATATTGGATGACATCAGATACTAAGAATGAAGTTTAATTACCGGCAAGGATCGGAGTGGTGCGCTGCCATTAGTGTGGTCTTTAACATTGTGACCAATAATTAATCCATTAATGACCTATGAAGAAAAATTACAAACAGGTAATTTCTAAATAAGTGACCTGCAAGGAAAGCTTACAAGTCAATGAGAAATGTTTTTTAAGCTGTACTTACAGGCTTATGGTTGGAGTGTCCATTGGTGATTTCCAGTTTACACTCATGGGACAAACCATTCAGTCCCTAACAGGAGGACAGCAACACACAGAGGAGATGCTTCAGACATGTGCATAGTGTAAAAATAGTGTAGCTTTCACTCCTTTTAAGACAAGTAGCTCATTATCACTGCATAACTCAACTTATCCATACTTGTTGTCATAATAGTGTCCCCTAAATCAACACACTTGTGAAAAATATTATGAACAACAAGCGAAACTGAATCTCAGAAATGTTTTAGAAGCTGCTAAATTTTACTTTCTCTTTCTTACTCAGAAACAAAATGGAGTAGGTGTTGACAAATTTAGGCTTTAAAAATGTGGTAATTTAAGCATGGACTTCCTTTAAGGAAAACTGCTCCTGCCTTGTTACGCAGTTTCCAGAGGCAGGAGAGACACTCATCTAATTATTTACAAAAGGAGCAGTACACAGTGATTGAGGCCAGGGAGCAAGAGGTAATATTACAGATAGAAATCCAAGCTAGGGATAAGAAAAATATCCTGCCAGCTACCACCATGGCAACATGCCAAGCAAGTCAGACCAGTGATTACAGCTGAAACACGCAGAACTGTTGATCTTAGGCCTTAAGTTAAACACATGTGACAGAACTGCTTAAGCAAATGCGCACTTAACTATTTAAAATTAAGAAAGAGATCGGGAAGGAAAATTTACCCCTGAGGGTGACTATTCCAATATGGCAACAGTGGTCAGACAGCACCTACTCCATTTTGTTGAGCACCCAAGTGTTACCTTCTGTTTTAATGATTAGGCTGATTTATACCAAAACACTGGAATGAGGTTAAGTGGTTAAAGCCTTTAAAAGCAAAGGTGAAATAATCGTACCTCGGTATGGGATGTGACATCAATGTCTTCTGCCATTGCATATGAGTGCATTGGCTAGCGAGCGCGTTCCTTTCTGGCCTCTAAAGACTTCTGAAGTCACAGACTGAGATGAGCTGATGAGCTGATGCAAGGACCACCATGATTTCTGTAGTGTGCATGTGTATTGTCTGCAAGTATCTTAACATTCAGTCAATGATGGCAATATGATTTTGTAAAACTGTTACTTGTGATGGAAGTCCACGGTGTGCACATCATATTCTCTGTTTCTGTGTATCTTGTGAGATTTTTGATGGCAGCCCGGCTTTCTTAGTTACTGCAGAGTCTAAGCTTCAGTGTAAGCACTGAGAGGAATGTGCAGGGATCCATCTACAATAGCTGATTGGAGGACATGGCTATCCATCAATACACTAGTTTCCCATAGACCTGCCTCCTTCCTCTCCTCCACAGATCTGCTCGGCCAGTGGGTTCACTCCTCAGCCCCATCAGAGGTACACAAAAGCTGGATGATGACATTGCTTTTCAGGGCTGGGCTCTCCCTGTCCAAGACAGGTCATTACTTTGGCATTCAAGACAATCCAGTACACACCTACGGGTACCAGTGCAGCTGCAGTTTACTTTACTTGCACCAAGGCTGTGTTATGTCTACATGAAACAGCAGCACACATCCAGAGTAAGAACTGTAGGTGTCCAGTGAGATGTGTATCATGGATAGAGTTCTTGTATGGCTGGAGTTGTAAGGAGAAGCTGTCATACGTACACAGTATCTGCAAACTAGAAGAAGAAAAATGATTAAACTACACAAAGTTAATCAACCTTTGCCAATTAGCAACACACAAACAATGTATAAATCATAAAAAGCATGAAATAAATATGGTTTCATTGGGTCAAAATAGATAAAAATAAGACTACTGTATACCGTCATGCATTTTGAGTCATCATAGCAGGAAAAGCTCAGCTAAAACAGGTTTAGTTTCATAATGGCTCAGTCATCAACTGTCCTAGTAAGCCATGCAAGCAAGCCAACATGCACACTACCAGGACCCAGCGACTATCTCACCTGAAAGAAAGGAAGCTATTTTTAATGCTATGAGTTACTCCTTATGCTTTTCCTGTTATGACAAGCCAAAATGTCTGCTATGAAAAAGTCTATTAGCTGAAATGCCCAAAATAAAGACTCTTGTACTGGCTCTTTGTATGTTAGCTTTTGGCAAAGAAACCTACATTATGTTTATTTCTTTTGTTTGCATTAGAACAACACAAAAAAGCAGAAAAAAACCAAGTCTGATCCATTCCACACAGAACTCCAAAAATGGACTGGACAGAATTATTGACACCTTTTCAAAATCATCAGAAACAGTTGTATTTCAAGCATGTGATGCTCCTTTAATTTGTAATGAAGCTCACCTATATCAATCAACAGGTGCTGGCAATAGAGAAATCACACTTGAAACCAGTTAAACTGGAGATGTTTTCGCCTACCGGGCAAACAGGTCAGTGGACGATGCAGTGAATATGGCACTGCATTACATCCTGCAACACCTCGACTCCCCAGGGACCTATGCACGGGCCCTCTTTGTGGACGTCAGCTCAGCGTTCAACACCATCATCCCAGACATCCTCCACCACAAACTGACCCAGTTCACTGTGCCACTTTGTTGCTGTCAATACTGCTTATTTTGTTATATTACACAGCCTTATGCTGGTTTACTGTTTGCACATTGAGAGCCGATGTACCTGAGTCAAATTCCTCGTATGTTCATCACACCTCGCCAATAAAACTGATTCTGATCTGAAAAAAATTTAGAAAAAAATTCGCTGGACTAGATTTCTAGGTCGAAGACATTTCACCTCTCATCCAAGAGGCTTCATCAGTTCTGATGTTTTGGGGCTGCTTTGCCGCTTCAGGCACTGGATGTCTTGACTATGTGTATGGCATTATGAAATCTGAAGACTACCATTGGATTCTGGGGCATAATGTAGGGCCCAGTGTCAGAAAGCCAGGTTCCCATCAGAGGTCATGGGTCTTACAGCAGGAAAATGACCCAAAGCAGACTTCAAAAAGCCCCAGAAATGGTTTCAGACAATGTGCTGGAGAGTTCTGAAGTGGCCAGCAATGAGTCCAGATCTAAATCCCTTAGAGTAGCTCAAAACTGCAGCTGGGAGAAGGAACCCTTCAAATCTGAGACCTGGAGCAGTTTGCAAAAGAAGAGTGGTTCAAAAGTCTAGTAGAGAGGTGGAAGAAAGTCACTGATGGTTACAGGAAGTGAATGGTTTCAGTTATTTTGTGCAAAGGGTGTGCTACCAAATATTAAGTTGAGGTTCTCAATAATTCTGTCCAGTTGTTTTTGGAGTTCTCTGTGGAATGGATCAGATTTGGCTTTTTTCTTTGCTTTTTGTCTTATTTCAAGGCAAACAAAAGAAATAAACAGAATACCAAAGAATTTATCATTGCAACAATCTTCTGGGAGAAGTGGTGTGTTATCTGACAGAAATGCAGGAGAACCAATATTTTTGGTCGTGACTGTACCTAGCATATAATGACCTTATAAATCTGAATGCATTGTTATGTAAATTAGCTCCAACAATAACATGCTAATTGCACAACCAATTTTTCAACAATAGAAATGGTCACAGATTTCATTTATCTGTAGGTTTTAACAGGCTTTTAAGTATCATTCTTAATGTATGACTTCTACGTTACTTGTAATGGAGCATTTTTTACACCATGGTACTGCTAATTTAACTCAGGCATGGGATCTGCAGACATTCTCCACCTTTGTATAAATTACAAAATTACAGTGCAAATTTTTCCTACCCTAAAATGATTAAGACAAGCACCACAGAGTGGTCTACCAACGGTGTCGTGACAGTATCACAGAATCTATCGAATTAAGTCCATCTTTGTCAGATGACAGTTGTCCACTGTAACACATCTCACAGTCGCAGCCTAACGTCTGTTGGCTACTTTACACTGTAGCAACCCACAAGCTAGCATTATGTCAGCTAGCAACCCCACAGACACAAAGATGCAGCTACAGCTTCATCTTAAACCCAGAATGCAACGCCTGCATTTGGGGCGCGCAAGCCAGCCAAAATGTGCAGAAAACAGCTAACAGTTACAGGATTTATGTCATGAATATCAAGTGCAATTAAGTTGCTGAGACCTAGCTCACATAAGAAAAGCCAGCTGTCAGGCTAACTAACGGGGATGGAGTCAGTGCCCAAACACAACAACGTATGGGAATATCTGCTTTTGTCGTTAAAGTGTCCTACATACGCTACACTACACTACACTACATTACATTACATTACGTTAAGTACTATGACCTGTCCAACTGTATTATGCACTATGAAGCAATTTAAAAGTACCTGTTTCTGATTTTCTCCCTCCAATCTCAGCTTCCCTTCCCCCGTTCAGTGGCCACGGTAATTTTAAGTGCATCATGGGAATTGTGGTTTCCTGTAGAAGTCTAGCTTCATTACGTCATTGTTCTCGCTCTCTAACTGTGAGAGCAGGGAACTTCCTTTTCTATCTACACATCCAGTCAGCACAAACACGCTTCTTTGCTCAAAAAATAGTAAAATGTTAATTTTTTTTCTGAACCAGTTGATGAATATAGTAGGCAAATCACGACAAGGCTTATGATATAAAGAAAGTTTATTTGAACTTAACCCTTTCAGAAAGTTTTGACAGCATTTGGTGTTCCCTCTAAAGACCAAGAATTTTCCTACATTTTTCCCTGATAGGGAAAAAATTATACTTGTACTTGAATTTGGATGTGGGGGTGAGGATTTCAAGCAGATGTCAGTTATTATCCTTTGGAACATTCTTTCAAGGAATTTAATGTTTGTTTTGCATTAGACAAACCAGCACTATTCAGCTGAAGCTTATTTCTTTGAAGCGCCCCCAGGCTCCACTGAACTGGGCATTTATGTTAAAATTGAAATTCTTTTGAGGGAAGTTTAAAAAAACTGCCACCATGGTTGACAGGTTAAAGTCAGCTCACTTCCAATTTCCCCTCAAAAACTCCCTTCAGGCCTTAGTTGTATGACATAATTGCATAATTCTGAACTAGTGCTGGTGAATATGTTCCAGCCGACTTAATCATGTGAGACAGGATGTAAGACCTCTGCTCTTCAGTTTCACTAATCCTGATCCCTGTAGTCTGTATTCCAAGAAAAAAAAATGCTGTTACAAAACATTTTTGGATCCATTAAAATTCCACAAAATAGGAAAACATGTTGCACAACTGACAATAATGGAGGCCAGATTTCCTGTCTGGGATGAAATCCACCATTACTTGATCTCAGGGAATGTGCTGCTGGCTCACGTTGGACTGCTCAGCACTGGGCTCACATATCTGAATGGCCAAACACCTGCTCATTCTGGCACACTGTCTGTCTGAAAACCTATCAAGGAATAGAAATACATTTTATATGAACTACAGACTATTTTTTCTGGGTCTTTAATTAAAAAGAGCCTTTAAATTAATTCATCTCCTCCTTATTAAAGTGGAACAGCTATGCAAACTGATGTGTAGTTTCCACAATATTAGGGCTCCTGTTCAGTTTTTTGTTTTGCTTGGTAACCTTTTCCCTATGTTGTTTTTTCCAAGTATGTATGTGCATTATATTTGCAGTCTTTATCTTTGACCATTGTTTTATAAGCTTTTATTTGAGTACTTGTGCATCAGGAAAGGACAGAGTAACAGTTTCCAAATTGCTCTTTGTATCTCCAATAGCACAATAAAGCATAAAATAACAATGACATTCCAATTATTTAGTCACTTGGCAGCCACTGTAATATGATCCATCTGTGCAATATTAATAAACAACACATTGAAATAAAAGTGAAATTTCACAGCAGACTGGGTGACAATAACAGGGGAGTTACCACAAAGAAACACTGACAGAAATTGGTCTTACTGGGATCTTCAGCACAGGGCTTCATAACCTGTACAGGTAGGACCACTGGCTATTTGTTACATGTTTTACTCCTCACATTGGCTCAGTGTGTCTGCAAAGATGGAGCAGAGTAACGAATGTGTCATAACCTATCAAGAAACACAATGTCTAAGAATGGTATAAAAGCTACAATATACCATAGTACATTTTTTATTAATGGGGACAAGAAAGAAACACATTTCCCAATTTAAACATTTGTGCTCAGATTTTCCTAACATAATCTTCATCTGATCTCTCTGATTTTCATTTTTTCAGCAGTTAACAGAATCATGTTTTTTGTTTATTTGTTTTGTGCTTTTTATGAGCAGGGGTTGGCCTGCACAGTGGAGCATGCTGTGCAAAGCTCGAGCATCTTGTGTCAGCAGGCAGGAGCCATGTCCATACAAACGTCATTAGCCAAGCGTTGCCTGAGGTGGTTGGCAAAGTCCACCTGCGTCTGAGAGAGCACTTTGTTTATGATTGTCTTTGGGATCCAGCCCTGCAGATGACAAAGACCAAGTGTTATACTGAATCACATGATGTTTAGATGTTATTTTTTTCCACAGTTCTTGAAGTTGATGAATAAATGGCACTACAAAGAGTGTGGTTACTGTGCAGACATAGCAGTCTCCTACCTTTAGATCTATACTTAGTAGCCAGGTGAAATTGGTCTTACTGGGATCCTCAGCACAGGGCTTGATAACAATACAGGTGGGACCATTCTCCCCTCTGGAAAGTGGAACAATCAATGTACAGCATGAATCTAAACATTATTCCACACATATAATCTGATTACTCTTTATCCATGCATTTACTCCTTACACAAATGGGTGCACATACAACAACATAATGATTTCTTCTACCTATAACTCCCCTTGACTCACCTGACTACACCCTTCTGCTCAGGCATTTTTGGGTGCTTAGTGGACATTCCAGCAAGGAAGCAGGTGGAGCCACGGCGTTTGTTGCAGCGGACGCTTACAAAGTCTCTTGGTCCCACTACATTGCCGGGTGTCTCTGTGGAAACCTCGTGGGTTACCATTGTGTCCTGGCCGATCTTTTGAAGGATCTGTGGGATAGCCCTGTGAAATTTAGCTATGTCCCTGGACAGACAAGCTTATATATGTCTCTTTCTGAAATGTGTAACAGTGAATGTTAAGCAGCAGCAACAAAATCTAAAGGGATCCCTGATCATACTCTAACCTTTGGTGCTGTAACTCATACCTTGACCTGTTTGACATTAGGATTCCACTCCCCCATTTGCTCCATATTTCCCACCAGCTCTTTGTAAATATTGTCAGGATGTTGATCCAACATCACTTCCAGCTTGAACACCTTCCCAATGTCAGGCAACACCTTACTCAGGACTTTGTCTCCGTTTGCCTGTGGATGGGTGTAAACAAGTGCTGGAAATGTTCAAATATCAAACTTTGAACCTTAAATCATGATCAGCAGCAGCCTTAACTTTTGGATGACTTAAAGTTTTCTTCCTTATGGGTCTTGACTCAATACTCACAGCTATTGTTTCAACGATCCAGCTGTCCTGCTCGCTGAGGATGCTGATGGCCTTCTGCAGTGCATTCTCACCTTGCTTCACATAAGACATTTCTTCCTTGCTGTACCCCAGCTCCTCTTTAATCCGAGAACCTTAAAACAGAGCCCCTCAAAATGAACTGAAGAAATTATGAAAATTACATCTTCCAAGAAAATAATATCCAAGCTATATAAACTCATATCAAATAGAGATTCAACAATAACAATACCAAAACTCAAATGGGGAAATGATTTAACTCTCCCTCCAACTCCAACTTCTGGACAGAAGTTTGTAATAACATCTTTTCCATGACCAGCAATGTAAATTTACAACTTATACAATACAAGACCATTTACAGGACCCATATTACACAAAGTAAAATGTTCAAAATGGGTTTCACTGACACAGACATCTGCTCACAATGCATTCTAGATTGCACCGACAGTGCAATCTATTTATATTTTCATGCTACTTGGACATGCCAACCAGTTCATTCCCTCTGGACAGCAGTGAGAAACGGTCCAACATCTTGGGCTGTAGAATCCCTCCTTCTCCATCGCTTTGTTTACTTGATAATATCAGAAATCGACCACCCACCAATTAAATACAAAAACCTAGTCCTCATTTCTCCAGCTATTGCCAAGAAAACAATCTTTCAAAAACTGGAAATCAAAAAAATCACTACACATAAAGCACTGGACCAAATTTCTGACAAAATACATCACATTAGAGAAAATGACATCCACTCACAAGAATAGTTTATCAGCTTTTTATGACACATGGAACCATTTTTAACACATTTCAATTTGAACCAAACACCTGGGGCTGAGGCCACGCACATTCCCACCAACCTCTAAAAATGTAACAAGCTGATTTTATTAGTAGTACTGTTATCATCATTATTATTGGCAATCTTTTATTTATTTATTTCCCCTCCTTTTCCTTTTCTTGTGTTTCATAGACTGAATAAGTTGGAAATACCCACACTTCACACACTACAATCTTGTAAAACACTCTATAACCTATTGTAATGTCATGCATCCGATGTCTTGTCTCCCATGTTCGGTACTGTTTTGTTAATGTGTTACTTTGTTTCAATAAAAAAAAATCAAAATAAACAGAGCAGTGAGTAACTACAGGCTGATGTCTGTTAACCTTCCACAACTGTGTTACTGTATATCTACAATGAAATAACATTAGTCGTATGAAGTGAGTTATTTGCATTATGTGTATCTTTGTTGCATTGTACTGACTCAAATAAGCACATGCACTGTAACAACTCACTGAGCAAGGAGTTTCGGCGGACTTGGTTGACCCAGTTACTGGGGCCAGGACTTTCCATTTTGCTCAGCTCATGGTAAATGGCTACGATAGCATTCTTTCTCAAGCCTGGGAAATTAAAAAAAAATGCTTACAGTTATTACATTGTTAAATCCATTCATTACACATAAAGATTATCAGAAGAAAGGAAATCACAAGAAAGGAAAATAACAAACAAACATTTAGCCTTATTCTTTTCTTAGTGATTTGTTCAGCCTTCTGACACTAGGCTCCATGCAGAACTCCAGTAGGAAAATGTACATTTTTGAGCCTGATGTTAAAGAGGGAGAAAAACAGGACAAGGCAAGTGTGCTGAATGTCAGTGTAAACTGGAATCTCTTGCTCACCTGCCATGTTTCTCATATGCCGGTAGGAGATGCCGGCACACAGTTTGAAGGTTGCTGGGAGCATTTTCTGTTACAGAGGTTTCTAACAGCTTCACAGGACCAAGAAAACTTTAAAATCAAGTTGATCGCAGAGACTGAAAATCTGAATGAGCTGTAAATGTCATTAAAAGAAGTCAACAATCGGCCAAGGGTACTGCAGGTTCTGTCTCAGCGCTTGAGGGTGTCTGTATATATAAGAGTGCCATCAAGGCTGACATGCTATCACCATGTAAATAAACAGATAACCTCATGTGGCCATGTCATCAAGGCTGCGTCATGAAAATTATGAGCATATCTGAATCTCATAAACGCTATGGCAAATAACGTCCCATGCCCATGCCTACTGCGTTTCTCACAGACACAAACACACACACACACACACAAACATTCCCATACCATGGATGACATAAGGGAAACAGACTCTCTTCAGTGATGAGTGTTCAAATGAGAGGTCAGATGGAGAGATAGTGAGTGACTCATCCATCCCTTCATGTTCCAATACAGCCTAAACACTGACTCTGGAATCTGAGGGAAAGAACATTTCCATTCAGATTGGCTTATTTATTCCCTCTTATGAGTGATATCTTGGTATGAGTTCTGCACAGCTCTAGTGTTGTTATCACTGAGGGGAAATGACCAGTCATTAACCCTAATGCTCTGTTAGGGTTCCTAGTGACTCCGAGCTCCCTTTTGCTGCTCAAAAAGCATATATTATTATTTTGTCCCCTTGCTACTTAATGATTATTTTATTTTATTTGTTGATAATTGCTTATAAACACAAATGTGACCTGATGTGAACTGATTACTTGTTTAAGAAGTCCACCATGAAAATGGACACTTTTTTTGTGTTTGGAGCCTCAGAGACTCCAGCTTTTGAGCAGGATTTTCATATGCTCCATAGATTTCTGTTGTTGCTGTTCATAAAAAGGCTAACAGAAAGTGTAACTGATCCCAAATATAAGTAACATTACCATGTATACTAACACTGTACATTTATTTGTTAGTGAAATTTTTTTTTGCAAACAATACCTCATATATAAAGCATTAAATCTTTCCTTATTTAATGTTATTACAATGCATTATTTTAAAATATTTTTAATTTTATTTATTTAGTTAGTTTTTTAAAATTTAAGTCCAGCTTTTTTGCGACATGTAATGGACAATACTTACCCTATGTAAGTTAAAAGTTTATGTTTGACCCGCATTTTTAGACGTGTGTAAGAAGCTACGCTGACAGTCTCTGTGCTGTGGATTACATTGTGTACGTTGGTTCTTTTTGTTCACCTGTCCGTTCTCATCCTCCTGCTTTCCTAGTTCCTGTCGTTAGTTTGTGTGTTTACCGTCCTGGTCTCCTTAGTCATCACTGCCCTTCCCTTATTGTATGTATTATGGACCCTGTTATGATGTTTTTATTCCATTAAACCACCTTTTTTGTACTAGCACCTGGGTCAGCCATCTTGAGTCCAACCCCAGTTCTCCTCCTGGTGAGGGGGACTAAACATAACAGAATGAAGTAATTTTAAAGATATGAAAACCCGTACTTAAACAGTGCTATTTTTGTGTTACATATTTTGGTAACTGCCATCTTTTCTCATTTGCAGAAAGATACAGAAAACCAAAACTGTAATATATAATCATGTAGCCTGTAAAAATCAAGGTTAATTAAAAGTGCTTAGTGAGGATTTCTTTTGCTCAAAAGGAGCCTTGTCATTTCCCATGGCAAGTTTATCTTGCATGAGTGGGAAGTAACTCAACTACCATACTTACTGTAAGCACAGTTCTGAGGTATCTGTACCTTACTTGAATATTATCATTTTCTGCTACTTCATACTTTTACAAATATTGTACTTTTTACTTCACAGCATTTGTTTAACTTTAGTTACTTTTCAGAGTCAGATGAATAAAACAAAATACAGTATAATCATAAGACTTTATTGATCCCTGGTGGGAAATTTACAAGACACCCAGCAGTAATTCAGATTATAAGCATATAAGGTAGCAAACATTAGCTCCACCTTTAGCTGCAACATTAGATGTGACATATACAATAATTATAATCCAATAATATGATATACATATATGTAAAATTGGTCATTTTGCATAATGAGTAAGCTACCCTTACTTTTGGTATTTTAAGTATATTTTTATAGAAATACTTTTGTAGTTTTACTTAGATACCACTTTGAATGCAGCACTTTTACTCCTAACAGAGTATTTTTACAGTGTGATATTGCTACTTTTACATATGTAAACAATCCAAGTGCTTCTTCCACTACCTCTGACTTGTCATACATATCACATATACACATCATAATGCAGACGTCAAACAGTGGCTCATGCTTTGGCTTCATTCTCTCTGTCCATGAGATCCAGGAGTTTTTCCTCTGTCAAACAACATGACCTGTAAACATGTTTACAGTGAACATGTTTCATCAAACTGCTCAAATGTTTTGACAAACTTTTTCACTCCGTCCAACTAAAATCCAAACTATGAGCAATCTTGTCTCAGTGAGCTGCACGTTGAACGTCAACAGTGCTTATGACCACAGGCATGAAAACATGTCAAAAGAGTAGCAGGCCATCTGATTAATGAAGAGTACCTGGCAGAGAGAAAACAGGAACAGATTAATAAATCCCAGAGAAAGCCTGAAATCACCTTAACCTTCGACCTCACGTCCCTCTGGATGGATTTCTGGAATTACCCATCAGTCCCCTTGGCCTACTGCAGGGTCAGGTCTCATTTATTACATAAACATTTTGTCCTCCGTCTTTCCTTATCTAGGCTTTCATGGCCAGTATAAAGGGAAACAGTTATAGCAAGCATAACAGTTTCATTATACAAACTGGTATGAAAGCGCTGCTTTAGGACAGACCAACAAATGTGAAACAATCCATAAAATAAAATTATAGCAGATTTAATGCTCAATTATAATTGTCTGAAAGAGAATATAATTGTGGTACAATGCATGCTTTTTCTAAAACTATAAAATACTGCTGCTACTACTACTACTTTTAATAACAACAATAATAATACTTTAAATCTGGGGTCTACGGTCAAGTTTTCATCCCTCAGATAGACTTGGTATGTACATCTGTATTGAACTACTCTCACCTTATGATTCAACTGACCAAGAATTATTGACCAGATATGTTCCAGTGAGGAGATATATTCCTGGTACATATAATTAATATAAACATATTATGGTTATGTCACAGTATCTTAATACTGCAAAACTGTAGTATAACAGTAGTGTATCACTATACTGTCTAGTCTTCCATGTACACAAGGAACTCAAAGCAAATGATGGGAAATAAAGAGACGGGCAAACTGTGGCACCCTGAAACTAGAGCACAAAGTTTATTGGGACTTGGACACAGTGGGTTTGGTTTTCACATGCACTCAGCACATTGCTGTACATCACATTAAAAAGGAAACTTCCCTCATCAACTCCCTCCTTTCACCACCCTTCCCTTCACTTTCACAAACTGTGTGAGTCTGAATCTGTGTTGATGCTTTTCTCCAGCGAAACAACATGAAACAGCATGACAGTCAGAAAATAAACAAAGTGCTGATGTCTGTGTGGACACCGTCTGGGAGATCATGCTAACAAAGAGGCACTTCAGTCTGATTCGGAATTTTTATTTTTTATGTCAAGTACACAGAAAAAAAATAGGCTTGAAAATGGTAAGGACGATTAAAGTTACTGCATGGGCCAGCTTTCACTACTTCAAACAGGTGAAATACCACATTCTCCAAACAAGCAGAAGAGACGGCTTTTCCTCCCTTTTTAACTGGCTGTGCTGCTGTGAGAAGGCCACTGCTTGATGTGGTGTTTGCGGGATCCTCTGGTGTCTTCCTTTCCTCCGCTGCTCTGACATGAATGAACTGGACTGAGTAAATAAAATTCAGGTGAGATTAACCTTTTGGGGAGCTGCTGGTACCCTGTGACTTTCTTTACAGTTGGACACAAAACAAGAGGAAGACGCTTCAGGTTTGTGAGGCATTTTGAAGAGCATGTTCAGAGTACAAGAGCAAAAATATAAAAAACCTGTACATGTGACCACAATGGCTAGGCAGCGATATATTTTCAAATTGAAAAGGCAAAAGGGAGAGCAAGAACACTTTTGTTTTGGATGTACGGTAGAAATCAAGCAGCGTGTGACAATATCAATACAGTAATGTGCCTTAGTGATCAGAGGTAAAACATTTTCATTTGGTGACAAAACAGCATGACATTATTTTATATTGTGCAACTTGGAAGTCAGGCTGAGTGCATGTGTTCCTCTCCACTCAATGGGGACTGTGCAGAAAAGTGAGAAATTGAAAAGAAAAAAAAAAGATTTCTGTTTCTGTACAGCATATTAATCAGCTTTTCAAAGTCCACATAATGTCAAATATAAAGTGACACTGTAAACTGAGGGAGACGTATGTGTGTATATGACGGTAACATCGGTAAAATGAGGTATGGAGAAGCAAAAGTGATACAGCTGTCCATGAAATGAAAACACAACACGATTCTCACAATTCTATCTGTGTGTGCATCTATCTGACTGTGTATGTAGGTACTGTTTGTGTGCTTTAAGCAATATGATATGTCTGCAGGCTCATATTTAGAGAAAATGTATAAAATGAATCGCACATTCTGGATCCTCCTAGGGTTTGAAACAACAGCTAAAAATCTTCAGCGACCAATAAATCAACATGACAACATGATATCATAAAACTAAACTGTAATCTTTGGCCTGAGTGTACGCAAGGCAATGTACATTATGTGTTGAGGTTGTTGAGGTGATGCGTTCTGAATGTTTAAGGAGTGAACTGAGGTATGGGAAGTGGAAATACAGAGAAAGAATAAGATAGAGTATGAGTTGTCCAGATAGTGGGGGGATGGATAGGTGGAGAGATACTGGTAAAAGATGCAGGCCAGAAACTAAAGGACTGAAAATGAGTGAAAAATAAATTCCTTTTCCAGAAAAACAAAAATTCACCAAGACCCCATCTTCTCTTCCCTGTGGTGGTCTTTATTATACAGCGGATCCCCTGAATATTAGCGTTCTCTGGTTTCATCAGCATCAGTGGCTCTGTTCTATAGTCCCACAATCCTGTGGGTAAGAAAGGTTTGTCCAAATATTTCCAAATGTCTCTGCAACATTGACCATCCCATTCCAAATGCCCGGGGGTCTCAGGGCCTGGTCATCCCTCCCTCCCCGCCCACAGGCTGAGCATTTAGGCTTTTAGACAGGCTGTCTCCAGCTGCTGCTCAGGTCCCAGCTGTGGACCAATCAGCAGCAGGGAAGCCCTGCAGAGCTCCTTCCCTTTATGTGTGTGTGTGTATATATGTGTGTGTGTGTGTGGTTCCCACACTGTCAAGAAGCCACTAGGGGGCAGAGTTGGACATGGAGTCCACAGAGTTTACACTGGAAGACTGCACACGGCTGTGGGAAATAGACACCTCTGGGTGCTGCAGCAGAGAGAGAGAAACAGATTTGTGTTGATTAGATTGTATGAGTGTGTGTGTAGGTTTATTGTGCATGTGTATGTTCACTTACATGCCTCCTGAAGATCCTGTCCAGCAGGCTGCGCCTGGGTGGCTCTGGGGGCTGATTCCAGTCCAGATCTGGAGGTCTCGTTCCTTGAGGTCCAAACACATTCAAATCTCTGAAACACTCAGTTTCTATCATCTGAATGAGAGGAGAGGAGACAAGGTGAGAGAAGGAGAGAAAATTTGGTGAACTTCAGTAACTGAGTTCTTTCAGCAGTTATACAAACTGCTCCGAGCTTTAAAAAATGTCACATTAAGTGCACACACTTACCTCATTCTGCCATGGGATGGAAACACTGCCTGTAGCAAATTTGGAGTAGAAGTCATTGTCAGTTTGGTCCAAATTTACTCCCTTGACTGTGGAGAACTGCTCTATGTCCAAAACATCCTTACAGTACACCGCCCGAGGCTAGGATAGGCCAACGGCCATGAAAAAGAGGGGGGTTGAGAGGAAAAATGGGATACAAGTTTATCTTGATCATTTATAATAATGGAATTTTACATCAAAATAGCACATTTTTTCCTGGCCATCCTTACTGAGAATTTCACACTCAGTTTTAGCAGTGCGATTGATTTAAACACGCAGCGTGTGCAGTAACATAACCTACTCACATCAGGCACAAAGGGAGGCTCCACTATTCCAGCCTCCAGCCTCTTGAAGTTGATGTTTTTGAAAAATGAGTGGGTCTTGACGCCCGCTGCTCCGTCCTCCAAGCACCCCAGCCTCTGCTTAGGGTCTTTGGTCAGCAGCTGGGGGGGAGGAGAGACAGAGATGTATCATTAAATGATTCATCACTCATCCAGTCTCTCCATATGAACATCTTTCCATCGGGCCTTACCATTCTACAGATGGCCTTGGTGTCCTCTGTAAACTTATCGTTGTACTCCTCCTCCTCCTCCTGCACCCTCCTCTCCACCTCCTCTCGTTTCACTCGTTCTTTGCGAGCACGGAAGGGCGATCGTCCGGCAGTCATCTCATAAATGAGACAACCCAGCCCCCACCAATCAGGACTCATACTGTACTTTTCATTGTTTATCACCTCCGGAGCTAGAGACAAAGGGAAATGGGTCGTTATGGTTAAAAGCTGGTAATTGCTCAGGTGAATTTAATCAAGGAAATGTCAACTGTAATATTTCTTACCCATATAACCCACAGTCCCCACCCTGCCTCTGATGAGTTCTCCTTGAGGCACTTTGATGGCCAACCCCAGGTCAGAGATTCTGATGTGTCCTGCAGCAAAACAGTGATGAGTGTGATAGCAGGCGCAGGACTGGTTTTATTTAAAGGTCAATGAATTATGAAATATTAATGTAGTTTGAAACTGTCTATTGGCAGCAAAATAAAAAAATGCAGTGCAATGCAATAACCAGAAATCTAAGATGATGAAGTTTCAAAACTCACCATTGTCATCTAATAGGATATTCTCCGGTTTCAAATCCCTACAAATAATACAGCATGTGAATGTGTTGTTAAAAAATCATTCAAAAACCAAGAAAGCAAGCCAAAAGATCCCCCCAAACGAAAAAAAAATCAAGAAAGCATTTAAACTAAAAACAAGACCTGCTTTGTGAATCTACTTTATATCAATTGATCAAAATTCAATTAAGACTGTAGTATTTACACTGGTACCTATATACTATAGATTCCCTGTGCAGATGCTCAAGTCCACAGCAGATCTGAGCGGCGTAAAACTGGACCCTGTCTTTCTCAAAGCCTGGTGTGCCCATGTTGTAGATGTGAAACTTCAGATCTCCACCATTCATGATGGTCAGCACCAGACACAGAGCGTCTTTGGTCTCATATGCATATGCTAAGCTCACCTACAGTAGAAAAAGAGCCAAACATGTTAAGTGATATAAAAGTGCTTAGAAAAGGAAACAGACATAAATGCAAAAAGGCAAGATAACAGGCATCTTGTTTACTCACAACAAATCTACTATTGACTTTCTCTAAAATCTGCTTCTCGTTGAGCGCCATAGACTCTCCTTTCCTCTTCTTTATCCTCTTCTTCTCCAGCTTCTTGCAGGCGTACATCTTCCCTGTCGCTCTGACCTGGCAGGCACACACCTGAGAAAAGAAATAAAATTTCACATGTAACTATTAATCACAATAATTTAAGTATTATCATCAATATTTCTCATTATAAACTCTATCTCTTACCTCTCCGAATCCCCCCTTCCCCAGCACTCGGTACTGTCTGAACGTGTCTTTAGTGATTGGTTGCCTGACAGAACACAGACACAGCAAAATCCATTAACCGACACTCATATAGTATTGATTAGGACAGAGATAATATCTGTGGAACTCAGTACCATCCTGAGTCTGTTTCCTGTACAGAGGGTTGGGCTTTGTGGACGCAATTTCACTTTCCAGACACAGATACAATCAAGGCTTCCCTGGAAGCCTGCTGTTTACTTCTAACTGCTTCTGGCATACATAGACACTGCATAAAATATTTTCCGGTCTAAAGTGATCATATTCTTCTGAGGTGTCTCTAAAATGAAGTGTGTCAAGTCTGTTTTGCTGCCAATGGTCGCTTCTTAAAACCTGTTTTAAGCTGTGAGAAATTACATTACTGGAAAAAAATCCATCATCCATGGCAGCAGCAGGGCTAAAAAAATCCTGACCAATAATTTTACTCCGTCTGAGCAAAACCACTGAATGGCCTACCTGCCTGTCAACCTACTTCCTACTTGAGCACATCCTGTCCTGGTACTCACTGCGTGAGCCAAAAGTCTCCCAGAAGGCCAGACAGGCAGACGTGTTACCGCTCTGTTTTTATAGCTAAAAGGCTAGTGAGCTATGGCAGAGAAGGTACCCACAGCAGCTTTCGGTTGCAAATTGAGCCCATACTCGAAAAAGGCACAAATAAAAATGAGCTGAATGCTGCAAGAAGTAAAACCAGATTTAAAATCGGCATGGTGTCTGAACGATGGCAAAAACTGAGAGAACAAAAGGGGCTGAAAAGTGACGCCATGATGGCCATATTTCTGCTGGACAGGTAATTATTGCTTTCACTTTGTTTGGGGGACATTTGGTATTTTTCCTGAAATCTATGAGTAGTCAGGCAGTGCACATTGCAGAGTGCATTGTGTTTTGGAGGAGTGGCTTCGGATTGAGGTCAGAACGGGTGGCTACTTTCAAAATCGAGCTTCCTCTTGCTGGTTTTCCCAGGTATGCCAACTATACCTTTAAGTATATTCTGATGAAAATATTTCCATACTTTTATTTTGAATGCAGTACCTTTACTTGGAGGACTGGAGTATTTTTTAGTAAAGTATCTGAGAACATGCTCTACCACTAGCTAAGATGTTACTAACCTCTAAAGTGTACAACAGGTTGCAAAATGTTGTGTTATCTCTGCTTTTTAAAGCCATAAAATGCTGAAATAAAGAACTGACTGTGGGTAACTTATTTGTTTATTGTGTCAGCTTAAAAGCCAACCCTCTGATAAAAAGATATACATTTAGAGGAACTCATAAAGGCAGAAATGATAATTATTAATTTTGCAAAAGGCAGTGACATACAGTGGTCATTTTATTAGGTACACCTGAATGATCTAATGTAACACAACGTTTAACTATGACCTCAATAATAAATGTACAATCGTATTTACACAGTTCAGACAAAGCCAATCAAAACTAAACGTTAAAAACTTTGTAAAGCTAAGTTTTATGGCAGAACATTTATTGAATTGTGTATATTACTCCCTCTTCCTTTGTATTAGACCTTAGTTGTGCAGACTGAAAAGGAGTGGGGATCTAAAATGCCTTATTTGGCTGAAAAATTCAAACTAGAGGTCAGCAGTGACTAAAATTAAAACAGATAACATGATTTTGCTTATAATGGTAAAACCCTATAAAAGTATAAACATTTTAAATAACTAACTAATTTGATTAGTCTATCTCTCTGGTGACCACAGCTAATTTAACTACGTACCTCTCCAGCATCTTCCACTGCAGGAATCGGTCAAAGTACATGCTGTTCTGGTAGTCGGCGAATGGAGCTCCACTCAGGTAGTCATGGACAGCCCTGGTCCCACACACAACACAGCAGGATCAGTCAAAGCAGTTGAAACTAAGGATATGATACAAGCTAAATTCAGTTAGCAATCTCTGTGCTCTTATATATATGTATATATTTAAAACATCTGTTTAAAAAAAAAAGACAGCAGAGAGAAAACAGGTGAGCATCCAGCAGATGAGCACTCACTTGCGGCAGTTGCTGAAGATCTCCTTGCATGGACTGAGTTCAAGGTTCTCCCTGCACTGGTCGGCAAAGACCTCTGCTATGTCTACACGTTGAGGTGACTACATCAATGCACACACAGTGACATACACATGACTTTTTTTATTATGCACACTGTAGAAAACTAAGGAGAAACATAATAATTTCTCTCTGAGCACAGAAAGGTATCAGTATCACATTACATACTGCACATATGCTATGTGCAAATATTACATTGTTGTTTTTGTTCATTTAATGTGTGCATTGAATTAATACACTCCTGTAATAGTGAGAAGAGTTTCATTCAGTTGCAGCCCAATGTTATTGTTTGCTTAGAATTTTTTTCCATATGTTTAAATATTTACCAATGTAAAAGGCGAATGAATTCACTTTTAAAGCAAAATGTGAAATAAATAAGGGGCAAAGGTTGAAGGTGTCAGATAAAGACATTTACTTGTTTTGAAAGAAAAGTCTTGATGATCTGGTCCCCTCTGCTTTTTCTTTTTTCATCAGGTGTCACCTCATAGTCTTCCTACAAAAGAAAATGTCTTGATGTTACTAATAATATCCTTTGCAGATCCTCTCTTATAATGTCACCCTTTATAATGTTATAAGGTTCTATAGGTTGTAACTGGTGACATTATTAGGGGTTAATAAATAATTTACTGATGCTTTATATATCAGATGTAAGACATAAATAGCATCAACATTTGGGCTGTTAGGTTGTGAAATATTTCTGTGGCTGGTGTTCATCCTCCTCCAACATGACACTTGCTCCATTTAGCCCTTTAATTCATTAGGAACTGTGAACGTATGGAAATTTGCTACATTTCACATGAACTTAAATGAATTTATTAATAATTTACTAACATGCATAACTGCAGGCTTGTTTATTAGAAACTGAGAAACTCAAGAGCATATACTAATGACTTAAACAACTTTTGTAACCACAGAAACAGTGACTTATTAAAAAGTCAGTCCTATCAACATTTATTAATAATAAAGAAACAACATGTTCACAACTAAACAAAAAGTTTTTAATACTTTATAACTGATCTATAAAGCATTAGTACATGTTTTAATATTTATAAATCCATTAGCTATAACTTATAAATCCATTATGAACAGTGACTTATCAGAAAGTATCTATTTGTGTTGTACACATACAACCAAAGGCTAAATGGATCTATTAGCCACCAAATATATCAGTATGTACTTTTGCTGTGGTACACAGGCATTCATTAGAAATAACTGTGTCTCCTCTCCCAGGTTCTACAAATAAACTCGACCAAAAAAAAGCTCCCTTCCTACTCAAGGTAAATCAATTTCATTTGGATGAAGGACGTGTTATTAAAAAGTATGTCTCCATACTACGATTTAGAATCTGGCTTTTGACCATAACGACTAAAACTGACTTTCACAGTTTCCAACTGTGAAAAAGCAAAAATGCCAAACTTGTGTCACATTGTATCTCTGCCTTTGCTGAGAAAAAAAATTCTAGTTTCATTTGTATGATGTAGTTAGGTGCTGTTAATGTCTCTTCTAAGACACACCTCTCACTCATATGTCTCTGTGTGTCATTGTAACTGTCACACAGACATATGTTGATCCTGGCATGGTGCTGGAGCATATGTAGCTGCTGACACAAACAGGCTGTTACACGCTGGACATATTGGACATCTTGCACACATCTTGCTCTGACGCACTTCGTAGCCAGCACTTTTAACATCTCGTAAAGGGGTGAGGCAACATGGCGCCCCTGCTGCACACCGGCTCAAGTGGCTTTTTTCTAACATGGCCCTGTGTTGCTCGGCAACCACACAGTAAACACGGTGGGATTCCTTGAGGTCCTGGAGTGTCACAGTGTGTCACACCAGTATCACCAGCTTTCCACTACAAAACTATACACACATCTTTTTTTTAACAGTATGTACACACATAAGTCAAGAGCTTAAGAAAATGTAGGCCACAGAATCATAGATACTTCAGATAAAAGCCAAAAGAAGTTCAGCAATAAATACAGTACATGCTGCATATTTACATATGTATGTAAATTTATACCAGAGTATAAGACAAAGAAAGAGAGAAAGGAAAATAGCTAATTGTGATCGGTGCCAAGTGTTGATTGACTGAGGCCTTGTAATCAAAAGAAATTACACACACACACTGTGTTTTCATTCCTTGTGGGGACTTTACATTGACTTACATTCATTTCTTGTAGACCTATCCTAACCTTAACCATAACCACTACTCGCCTAATCCTAACCCTGACCCTGACCCTGACCCTCACCTTAACCACACCCTAACCTTAAACCATGTTGCCACCCTAAAATTCAGTGATTTCCTTGTGGGGACCAGTCTCTGGCCAAGTCCCCACAATGTGAGTGTGTTAACATGTTTTGGTCCCCATAATGTAAGTAAAACAAAGGGGCACACACACATGCAGACTACATGAGGTGTCTGACTCCAACCCTTTGCTGGGGCTGGGGTGGGGGGTCAGCCAAAGGGAAAAGAAAACGCCCCTTTAGCCTTTTGGAAACAGAGGGGATACAATACACAAAAACACACACACTAAATTATACACACATACACCTCATCATGATGTAAGAGGAACTGCTGGAACCCTTCCTCTGCTGCAAACACTGAAACACACACATGCACTCCCTCTTCCTCCTGTTCATGCTTTCCCATGGCCTAAACACACCTCCTCAGATTTTCTTTCCCTGAAGAAACAAAAACTCAAAATTTCCCATATGCCTCCCTAATTCCTCTAATTTAAACTAATACAGTCTAGTTTACTTAATTTCTGGGTTTTCCTTTATGGAAAGTAAGGCGATGAGATTACATAACAAAACTGTTTTCCAGTTAACCTCATAACAGCACAGAACTCATATGTTATTTAATCACTTGAAATACAAGCAGCTGCCTGGTTGTAATCACCCTCAGGCCTGGTTTATTGTTAGTAAAGTGGCGAGTATAATGCTCGACACTGAGCGCGGCCTCAGAGCTCATCACATGGAATGCAGAATTACCTTCAACATGTGTTTGGGATGAGCGAGTTTAAGTGGTTTCCCCCTAGCAGTGGGTGAGCAAGGGTCACTTTAAGGGCTGGGTGGTTAAATGGAACAGAGAAAGCAAAGGAAGGGGGATGTGTTTGCGTGTGTGTGTGTGGCGAAGGGGTTGCTGGGATTGAAAGGGGTGGTGTGGGAAACAATGCTGTCCTTTCTGTCCTGTCACATGCCCGCAAAGATATTCTGGGCATAGACAGAGTTAAATGTGTCATGTGGGAGGTATTCTGTCTAGGGAGGTAGCTAGCTGGTTGAATAACCACTACTCAGTTTAATTGTCTCCTCTGGCTGCGTGACCCAGGACCAGAGTACTTTCAGGATACACTGTAATCAAAGTGAGTGCAGTGTTTTCTAGACCTGAATTCATCCAGGAAACTGAGCTGTTTCCTGCAACCCATGACACAGTGACAACCTAGGGACAGTGAAGGAAATGACTGCTGACTATCCCGTTCCCTGTTCGTCACTCCTGCTACACCTGCCAGGCTTTCATTTATATAGTTTACAATAATGGTGGGCAGATTTACTACTTGGAATTCACAGTCATTTTTTTAAATAAGGGGTCTTTAATTTCACACAAATGTAATCACAAGCAGGCTTCACATTTCTAGCCAACAATTATAAATTTTGTTGGCAGAAATGACAACTGTTGCTAGTAGATTTTATCAGCTGTGGCATAAGTTAATGCCGGCGCTAAAAAGTGAGTTGAAAACTCTTCAAGCTTGGTACACAACAAGTCCTAGGCAAAAAAGTCAGTATCACCTACTGATCATCCGTGGAGCAGACTAATGCTTTAGATTTAAGCTTTGGTGTGTTTTCAAACAGTATGATTCGCTTTTTAAGTCAAGTTATTTGAGGGTAACTGATGAGTTTGGGAAATGGAAGGCTATCTATTGTGAGTCTGGCTGGAACAGCGCAGAGCCACTGTCTACACTACGCTGGCACCCACAGGGTTGATGCTCCTCGGGTAGGGTAAAAGTTATATTTCAAATAATGCCACAAAATAATGTGGTTAGCATTTGACACTACCATTACCTTTGGAAATAATGTTAGATTATTACTTTAGGTAATAGGCTTGTTAGACAAACATGCTAATGATCAGGACAACAGGCAATAGTAGGATGTGAAAATGTAAGGCTTTTAAATGGAAAAGGCTCTGGTCTGTGTACGCATTCTGAATGTCCATACTGTAAATTTATTATTCTGATTTATGCTGTACACATCTCTTGCACAGCTGTCCATCCTGGACAAGAGATCCCTTCTCTGCTGCTGTTCTTGAGGCTTTTCCCATTATTTCCTGTTAAAGGTTTTTTTTTGCAGGTTTATCTGGTTCAAGGGTCTAATAACAGAGGGTGTTGTATGTCATATGTACAGGCTGTAAAATCTTTTGATGCAAAGCTGTGATTCTGTGACACTGGGCTAAACACATAAAAACCGACTTGACTACTAAGCTTTGATTGGACAATAATTACTGGGGGCAATTATTACAGTGTAAAAGAGATTTGATGGTTGACCTTCCCCCACATTGTCCTGGGTATATTCCAGGATTCCTAGTGGCAAACTTCGGGTAAAATGATGCCCACTGAGTGTGTGTGCATGTGTGTATACCATTGCATCCAATAGCTGGATGCACCGTTGCAGTTTAGGTCTGGTCTCACAGTAAAGACGGAAGAGAAGCCGTCCAATAGGCTGTTTCTCACAGATGCTGACATAGTCTCGCTCTGTAGAAAGAGCACACACATTTTTTATACAGTCAACAAACAAACACACTCTTTTCAGATGTAGGTGAGCACACATAAGAGTACACACAAACACGTACCAATGCTGTTTCCCAGCTCAGTGCACAGGCTTATATGGGGGAAGCGAAGGATCTCCTTCCATTTTTTGCTCCTGCCTTTCCGCTTTCCTCCTCCACCTGTGGTGACAAAAAAAAAAACAGAAAATGTGAATATGTTATAATGAAAGAACTTCATAAAGTTGTCGCTATGGAGCAATCGAAGGCTTAATGGCTAAAGGGAGTGGGGGTTAAGTGTGGGCTCTATCCTCTCTCTCTACTGACTTTCTCTCTCACCCAGTAGCTTTTTGAAAGTGGAACAGTGTGTGTTTAATATGTACGTGTCTGTGTTTGTGTCCACAAAGAGAGAAAGCCTCTTCTGACCGACTCAGTTCCCATCAGAACCCAGGACTCTGCCAGATTAGATTCCACTTCTCTGAATAATCACACATCAACTTCCTGCTGCAATGTAACACCATCACAAACAAAAATCACTTAGATCCACAATGTGCCCTTCAATGTTTAAAGTCATTATGCATCCAATTTCTCTTTCCTTAAATTTTTTACAGTCTCCACATTTCCCATATAAACTGTCTTCCAGATGAGATTAAACTTTAAGCTTAAATTTCATCGATTTCCATGCATTCCAGCCAGCCCACTGTGTCCTACGTCATGTTCGTCTCAGTTTTTCTCTCACAACAGAAACGCTGCCCTAACAAACTCACAGGGATTTCCTTCAACCGCTCTGTGGAATGGAAGTCATTTGCAGGCAGCTTGCTCGATGCGAGAGATGTGAAGCAATGACAAGTGCACATCATAATAACCCAAAAATGTGAGATAAATGTGAAGCTAATATTCTCACAAATAATGAAGTGTAACCATTTCAAATACAATCACTATGTCACAACAGTCTAATGAATCTTAAATTTAAGTTTGGTTTGTCTTTTTCTATTTCCATCAAGCATCTGTTGCCACTTTCACCTGAATATATGTACAGTATTATACTGTTTTTTATACCCTAAATGCAAAAGTAAAAGTTAAATTCCCACCACTATCAGAACTGATTTTAGATACTTCTTGGTTATGGACCTTCCTCGTGTCAAATTCACAATCTGGTCAGTATACATCAGAGTGCAACAACCAATCAAAAGAGGAGCCAAACTGACCTGAGGTTATTTATTGTTCACTAAGTGCCACCCCTTCAACTACTGTTGATTTCCTTACTAACAAGGCGTTTAAGCAGATTACTTGATATTGGATACACCACTCAAAATCCAGTTCTTTGATTTCACACAGTTCATCAAAAGTAGACTAAATTTCTGCAGTGCAGTAATGCTAAAATATCACATTTTACTGGCTAGTTATATGATGCTTTATCTGTGAATCAATTTGTTTCCAGTTTACACCTTTTAAAATCATCATGGAATCTTAAAGAGCCTTAATATGCTGGTTCCAATTTGTTCATTACATCATGCTAATGCTGAGGTGAAGCTATTCCCGGGCAAAATCTGCAAATCTGCTCCTTGTAGAGTGTATATACAGTAATGTCCTCTTAACGGAGCAACACTGTTCTTGTATTTTGGGGTATGGTACAGGCTTAAAAATAAAAATGGTACTTTGCTCTAACATGACCATGTGTAGAAGAACAAAGGTTGGATTTTTTGCTTTATTGTTAATATTTTCAAACATTCTCATTTACAAGAGACATACTATGTGAGCACTACCAGTGTATGAGAGTTTATGTGGTGCTGCTAGAGTCTAAACTTTCCCAAATCCATTTAAAAAGGACAGGGGTGCTAGAGGTAATGTAAACTCTGCCCTCCAGGGCCTGCCTGGCTCCAATACAGTGGGTGTGTAGTGCTGAACAAGGCTTTTGATAACATAATCTAACTTTTATTACATAACACAGTTAATTATGTGCTGCTCTGTGGCTTTGGAAGCACAGTAATGTCAGGTTACTACTGTAGTAAACTAGTTAGTCACACGTGCTAATGATTGCAGCTAGAGCAAACAAACTTTTAAATATCTTCCTGATTATTTTGATCCACACAAAATTGTCTTGTAGGATCTGTTATTATAACTTCAGTTTGGGTATTTTTTTTAGATAAACTGCCCTACATCTCACACACAAAATAGTAGTCATACCACCAGAGACAAACACAAAGCATAAATGTATTAATAACTCAAAATATCTCCTTTGAGAATCAACAGCACCTGCTCCTCATCTAGATTATCGTAGACCAAACAAGCTATAAACAGGCACACTTCCTTAAGCACCTGTTGTCTGAAGACACTTAATATGTAAAGTTACGCTCCACAGTGAAATGTCAGTGCACCCTGTTGTGTTGCTATGTGATCTGATATTTTAATCTCTTTGAATAAAAACATGATGTCTGATGTGAGCAGAGAAGGTCATTCCCCAGAGGGGACACCATGCTGAAAATGAATGCGCTTGTGCTACAGTAAGGCGGGTGTGGATGAAAGCGTTCGTGGATTTCCTGTGAAGGGTCAAAACATGTCAAATAACTGTACCAAACAGCAATGCTCCACCCAGGCATTCAACCTCGATGCAATGTTGAGACAACAAGAAATAACGTGGTCCCTCCTTTAATTTCTGTGTCCTGTTTTCTTTCCTTCTCACCACCCTCCAAACCTAGATGTTCTCATAGCCGGTCATGGCTACAAAAACCCCTTAAATGTCATTCTTTACTGTGTGTGAAAAAATAGTTATGTTGTGGGAAGTTAGTGGAGATGAAGACATCCAAACTGCTTGGTGATCACCAATACTCCTGTCAGCTTATTTAAATTGTAGAACTTACTGTAACTGTGTTAGGATTTATTATAGAAGGAATATGAATAACAGCAGATGCCTGTTGGATGCAGAGCCGAACATCTATAACCAAACACACACAACTGCTCCCACAAACATGAAATATTATGCATAAATTATTAATCTCCAAAAACTGCGTCCTCCCTCTGATATAACAAGTAGCTTTCCGTCTGTTCCCAGTGTCGCTCAACATTTTCTGTGCCTGTGGCCTTAAAAAAATACAACCAGGACCAGTTCAAATGAGTTTAAATTATGTGTTGCTTTGTTGATGTCCATCAGCTGTTGTATATCTACTCACTTAAGGGGAAATATTCTGGCAGGATGTGGGGGAAGGTTTGTAAATGTCAAAAGAAAAAAGAAAAGGAAGCACTGGGTTTTCAAATCACAGGAAGACCTCCATTTAAATGTGTTTTGTTTTAGTGCAAATCAGTAACTCTAGGTTCCTTGCCTATTAAAAGTATGAATATGCTCATAAATGTTGTCCATAAAACCTCTTGTCCTTGCTCTTTTCACTTCTTTCTTTCTCTATTCACTCTCTCATCACTCTCTCATGGTGTCACTTACATTGTACATAAGCAGAAATATACAGCGCACCCTGGGTACACTGCACACAGGAACTTGTCAGTCTAATTTGTTCCAGGCAAGCACTGTGGTCGTCACCCTTTATTTATGTTTCTGCTTAGCAGCCCTGACATCATCAAGGCATGTCAAGTGAAGCAAAAACAAGGTCAGAGAGGGAACGACATCCATCTGGCGCAACACCAGGGGGTTACCAGCATCCCAAACCTCTGTGTGTCTTTGTGTGTGCACAGTGTTTCTGCAGTGACCTCTCTCTAGTAACGTCCTCATGCTCAATTTAACTGTCCCGGGCAGTCCTGTAGGCCCTGTCCATCCGCACATTCAAAAACGTCCCTGCTTAGCTGTGAGGTTATGTTCATAAAGTGTTGACACACAAAAGAAGCCAAGTATTAACCAGTATGCTGCCCAAGCACTCACACAGTAGTCTCAGAGGTTTCAAACACTTCCAAGTACAGTGAAACCCCAGAAGTGCAGCCAGATCTGCTGTGGACAACCAGTTAAAACCACATCCCGAAACTCAAGCTCTGCTACTGGCATATACTGTATGTAACATCTGCAACAGCATGTGATGCTAGAGTGCTGGCAGCGAGGAGTGCTGTGAATATGTGCTATTCTCTACACCTACACTGTACAAAGAGTGAGAATGATTTTGGTAGATTTCTATGACTCTTCACACTCATCTCCTCCCTGCACCAACCTAAAATTTTATCTTTCACAAACAACTGATTATCTGTTTCTGATTATCCAACTCTCACTCATTCTCACATCACCTCCTTTGTCTGGTCTGTTAAATGTCGGCCTCACAGTTGAGTCATACCCTGGTGGTCAGTGAGGTACCAACACAGTGAAGCCAACCGGCACCACACTATGATACAGACGCCTTTGTTCTCTTGAAGTCTCCCTCTACTTTCTCTCCCACAAAGCCCAAATGTTCATTACTTGTATTTGCATGAGATCTGCAGGTAAAGGCTGGTGTTTTGTGTATGCAAAGCAAAGATGATCAAACAAAAAAAAAGAGATGTTTGCATTTGTGCTCTCGCTCTAAAACATCCTCTTCCTGCTTCTCATGGCCCTGGAGAGAGATTGTTAACAGTGAAAAGACTGGACGGGATATAATGTACTAAACACTAATATATATTTGTTTACTTATTAGGTATAACAGATCTAACTAATACAGTCCAGTAAACAGTACATGAGGGTTGTTGTTTTTTTTATACCTTTTCAACTCTATAGTCAATTTTGAGGCCATATTAGTAGCACTCTCCTCCACTTTTGTCTCTTCAAGTGAAAAACTAGTTACTGAATTGAGGACATTTTAAAGTTAGTTCACAGGTTCAGTTTAACTGTGGCAAGTGTGTTTGTGTGTGGTCTGTGTACTGCAGGAAGCCAGGGGAAATGCTGCCCAGACCTGAGCAGAAGGGGAGGACTATAACAGGAAGACACTCTTTGTTGCCCTATTCCACCATGATGTAATGCCGGTCCCTCAGCTGCCTTATTACCATCCTGAACAACCACCTTTGTCTGTGTATTTCTCCATATCGCAGTAATAACGGGGTGATCCGGCTGTAACATCTGCTAACACGCTCAAAGCAAACATCTGTGACGTACACCTTTTACCTGGCAACACTCAACTGTTCTTTTGGCTGCTGCTGAGGTCACATGTTAAACCACTTAATGAGGGGTCATAAACTTAAAATCAGTCATAGACAATAAAAGAGAGCTCAGCAGAATG